AACGAAGTGAAAAAATAAGAAAGCGTCTAGGGTTATATACATTTCACGGAATTATCACGCATGAATCTTTGTGTACAGGACGCGAGATTGTAGATCTAAATATGTGTAGGCTAAATATAGCAAAGCTTTCCTAATTGCATAATTAGGCGAGAAATTTTTTCAGTCACCAAATAATTAAAAAAAAAATATCCAAAAAAATAACATTGTTTAGTTAACTAGGCCTTTGGCGAGCGATTGACTTAGATATTTACACAATTATTGTTTAACAGTGTCATAAAAATCTTAACTGATGGTAAAAGTTGAACACGTCACTAAAGTGGGTCGACTGTAAATGACGTCACACATCTCAGGAGGCCTGAGGAGGGGGTCTTTTGATTTATGATTGTGTTACGAAAGCTCAAAGGTTTAAAAAATAATTAGGATTTTAGGCCTAGTTTTTTTAGTGGGGGGGGGGGGGGGGGAGAAATCGCATTGAAAATGACATTAGTAACCCATTTTTAGGAAGGGTGTGGGGTCTTGGTTTTATAAGACACAGATGGTGGGGGGGGGGGAATAGGCTATAATCATGTGACGTAATATATGGCCTACCCCTATCTCACATCATTTAACCCAAGCCTATTGCACCATGTAGTGAAGGATAGCAACATTAAAAACAAGAAGAGACAACTCCAAAAATTAAACAACTGCTGCCTTGTAGTTTGTTCTTGGTTGGACAAAGGCTATGGAAGCAAATCCAAAAAGAAGTCAATGGCCTCAATGGCGCATAACCAGTTGACACGCTTAATTGTGTTGAAGGCGTGGTCGAGTCGGCAAAAAGCTCATGGTTGATAAATTCGAACAAAGTCTCGAGTTCAAACCCACTGGCAGATAAATCTCGATCCCCTTCAACACTAATAATTAAGAACGAAGAAGAAGAAACAAGTCGTCTGGTCTTGCATATTTTCACGAACATATAATTACAACACCAGATGCATTGTTATCTAATACAAACGGCAATAACACTAAATCTGTAGTTCTATGTCCACTGACGTTTTTTTGTGTGTTAGATGCAGCTATGACAGATTGTGTTGTGTTAATAATTACCCAGTTAAAGAGCAGTGTCAATAAAATAGTGAAGGGCTTGTGGGGGGGGGGGGGGGGGGGGGGGGGTCGTCAATATGACATCGTGTATCGATGGGAAAAAAAAGGGGAAGGGGGCTTTAAGCAATTGGCTATGGGATGATATATCGAGGGAGGGGGTAAAGAATATGTCAATATATTTAGTATTTATTGTTTATAATATCAAAATTTAAATATAAATATAATTTATACAGAGTATATAAAGGCCTATCATAGAATACCCCCCCCCCTCCCCAAGTTTCAAATACTCTCACAGGAGAAAAATGTCTGAATGATAGGGTCTGGATCAGGGTTAAGACATGGTTACTAAGTAGGGTATAGATACTCTTTTTCTAACAAAGCTTCAATACGTAGCTTACTGCCGGCGATGATATCACAGCGTAATAATCTTTTTGAAATAAAAAATTAATTAAGTCATTAAGACAGACCGAAACGAGAACAACAAAATGTCGTTTATTTTTAATTTTTTGTTTTACATTATATTTGTTTCAGAAGTTCCAGGCGTTAGATCACAGCCCGGCACCCTGTCCGTCAAACCCCACCCCGTTTCACCAATGGACGGCCAAATGGCCGTGGCCACCATCGACATAGAGACTAGTTTCACAAACAAGCACATGTCGAATGGGGCCAACGGTCACGCCAACGACACGGTGAAAGCGTCCGTCTTGTCGGCCCACAATATCAACTATTTTGTCAAAGTCGCCACAAAATGTTGCATGGGGAAAACAGATAAACAAATTTTACATGACGTCAGGTAAGGTCGAACAAATTTTTTTCTGCCGTTTTTAGACTGGAAAGTATATTTAAAGTTAATTTTTAAAATAAAATACGACGGAATAAATACATCAACATATGCATATTAAGGATAAAAATACATATTATTATAATCTCATATGCACACCTTAACGTCTTTTGTTTAAATATATTTTCTGCAGTGGCATCTTCAAGCAAGGAATGACCGCCATCCTAGGCCCTACAGGTTCTGGAAAATCTTCGTAAGTTAAACATTTACCTGCTAAAATATAATTAATTAAATGTTAGAATATGTCAGATTGGTAGGCCCTATTTAATAAAATTGTTTAAAATCTAAATTCTTATATTTATTATGTTCTTAATGAATGAAATTTTCTGCTATAAAAAAATAGTACACTAAATACATGTGTCAGTTATTTCAATACTAATTTAAAAAAAAAAAGGTTTTTAGATGTCCTAGCTGGCAGGAAAGAAGCTGAAAGATTATCTGGCCTTATACTACTTGACGGTAAACCTGTGCCCAAGAATTTCAAATGTATGGTTGGCTATGTAGTTCAGGTGAGAACATACACATAGAGATCTAGATCTAGAATAATCTAGAATCTATATCTACCATTAAATAAATCTAAATTAAACCCTAGATCTAGATCTAAATGATTTGTATTCACGTACATAAAAGTAATCTCATGAACCAATGGTGCTGTGTGGTAAAAAAAATCATCATAAATATTTTTGGTAATCTATCGTTTTGGGTACGTAAAATCGCCCGCGGCTATTTATGTACGAAAACGTTACCTCATTGTCAAGGCTTTAATAGAAGTATATTGTGATATGTTTGTGTCAAATATTATAGGTAAATGAATAATAAACCTAAATCAATTGCTAAATATATCGATATAGGCCAGAAATTAACTTTAAACAGCAGTGTCTGAGAGCAAGATTTGCTATATAAACAGCAGCCATTTGTAAAATAGAGTGGCTTCCCCCTGAATGTGGCGCTAAAAGCTTATAAAAATAAAACTTAGACAAGATGGCTGCTATAGTAAATGAGCATGGTTGCATCTGTTGGAAACATCGCTAGTCTTCATTTATTACGGAAAAGTTTTAATTCAATTGTTTAAAAACAGGTACATAAATGAATCAAGGAAACATTTTTGAATTTTTTAAAACATAAATCCTCCTCAAAATGTGAAATAATTATTAAAATTTAAGGAGTCACCTGTTTTTCACATTACAAATCGCGGGCGATTTTACGTACCCAAAACGATAGATTACCATATTTTTAAATATAATAAATAAAATAAATATTAAATTATTAAATAATGACGTCACGCTTTTTTGACGACTTTTACCACCCCCCTCCATCACACATCGTCACAAAAAGCCAGACCCCCCTAAGATGACGTCAAGCCTCAGCCTACAACCACCCCCCTAAAAATTGCAGTTGAATTTTTCTTAATACATCAATATTTTTCCAAAATCTTGTCTGAACTTTGTCAACAAGGAATTTTAATCAATTCCTAGATCTAGATCTATTTCTAAAACGCGAAATAACGTCTAAAATTTGTTTTCTAACATTGCTTTTTTATAATGCAAAAGTGTGATGTCACACCATCTGAAACCCCCCCCCCCCCCCCTTGCTTGGCGCTACCTATAAAGCAAGCTAGGCGGTCGCCTAGGGCACTATCCATTGAGGGGAGCAAAAATGTGTAATCACCATTAAAAAGTACCTAATAAATTAATAATTAATAACTTTGATTATGTTATATAAATATTAGACAGGGTAAGAGTGTAGCTATCTAGTTCGGTGCCCAAGACGAACTATCAACTTTGTGTCCCCCTCCACTCCTCTACTTTGACCTATATATATAGTTATTCGCGTTGGTGAAAATGCCTTAGCCTTTTTATTTTGGTGTCACACAGTTGATGAAAAAAATAATTAAATAGGGGGAGGGGGGGAAGGCGGTTTAATAAGTTTTGCCTAGGGCGCTAAATAACCTCGCACCGGCACTGCCCTGCCCCCTCATCACACACCGTCACAAAATTACAGACCCCCCCTTCCCCCTAGGAGTGTGACGTCATTTATGGATGAAAATAGTTGAAAGCATAAATCCTAAAATCAAATGAATTAAAATTTCAAATGAAAGAAAGACTAATAAACTAAATAATAAAGAAAGACGTTTAATTTTTTATGGAATTATTGAGGATACTAAAATACAAAATCTCTGATGGGCGGATTAACCCTTAATCACTGTTCTAAATCTAAATAGACTATTGAAAAATCTCTCGTTTTTATTTACTGTTTTTAAAAAACATCGCACCCCCCTCTCAACCATACACATAACCCAATGATGTTGTATGTCTAATCACCTATGGAAGCTGACCACATACTCAAATGTTTCAATTCCAGGATGATGTTGTCATGGGTACATTGTCAATACGGGAGAACTTTGCCTTTTCGGCAGCCTTACGTCTGCCCAAATCAGTTTCTGCCAAAGAGAGGAAGGGGAAGATTGACCAGGTGATCAAAGAGCTTGGTCTGGACAGGTGTGCTGATACCAAGGTCAGTTTTTTTCTGGGAAAACAATTATCAATACAATTCATACATTCAATACTTGTTTTCAAAAAGCTTAAGTACATAGCATACTGCCGGCTTTGATAGAACTGCATTATGTTTTTTTAAAAATAAAAATGATCTAAGTAATTAAGACAGACCAAAACAACTCCAAAAATTCGTTTATTTAAAATGATTTATGTTTAGTATAATGTTAGGGTGAAGGCTATGCTATAATCAACTAAGATCCTTTAGTTAATATATGTATCGTTAAGAGTAATGCCACTTCCCTTAGGATTAGAGAAAGAGAAAAACATTTTGTACTTACTAAATTTTTACTTACAATTTTTGTAGGTTGGGAATGAGTTTATTCGTGGAGTGTCTGGCGGAGAGAGGAAGAGATGCAACATTGGCATGGAGCTGATTATCTCCCCTCCTGTGCTCTTTTTAGATGAGCCAACAACAGGCCTGGATGCCAACACTGCAAACACAGTGCTCATGTTTTTGAAGAGGTTTGGAACATTTCACCAAAAGAATCCAGTGTATTCCTAGCTATCTATTGAATCATATAAAAAAAAGTGAACAAATGCGCTATACTATCAAGAATTAGTGGGATAAATGTTCACAAAAACTGTGGTTTTTAGTTTTGAAATTTTGGTTCAAGTTACTGTTTGAGCAGTTGTCATCACAACCAGACCATCAGTTTGGGAAAGACTAAATCAGCTGCAACTGTCAGCTGCAATGAAAAACTGTCTTCTTTTAACACTTATTGAGATGCTCAGATAACAAATATAAAAACAATTGTTTTACCCTTTAAAACAATAACAACTGTCTATGTTTATACTTTTGTAATACATTTTGTGTGTTGTAATATTTCAAACAGCTAGTTTGTTTTGTTAACTGTGACGTTTTTTATTCCAGGTTGTCACGACGAGGAAGGACGATCATATTCTCTATACACCAGCCTCGGTACTCCATCTACAGGCTGTTTGACAGCTTGATGCTGCTCTCACAAGGTCACACTGTGTTTCATGGGCCCAGTGAGGAAGCCCTGGCGTTTTTTACCTCTCAAGGTATGGAGATACTCCTTAATTATGGAGACACTAAGCTGTACACTTCATGCTGTTAATCAACAGTTGTTGCCATTGCTCTGTATAGTTCCAATGGCAACTTAAACAATGCTAAGTTATTACGAAATTCTTATGATGTTATTCTGTCATTTTATATATATGTTAATATTCCACTTTGCCGTGTTAAAGTTATGTAGGGCAAACTTTAACATTACAGTAGGTAGCACAAACTATAACATTACAGTAGGTAAGACAAACTATTGCAGTCCATGAACAACTTGCTGTGCTTTATCTCCTGTTTAGGTTATATTTGCCAGGAACACAACAACCCCCCAGATTTTTTTCTGGATGTCATCAATGGAGACCCAACCACATTCAAAGATGCAGGAATCAATGTTGTCAATGAAGTGGAGTCAGATTTTGAAAGTAAGTCTTGGATTCTAATTTGTTTACTTTGTTGCGGCCAACTGTAAAATTAAAGTTATTGTGTTGCTCTCCCTTGCATTGTAGACTACCTTCTCATAAACTTAATCCATTCTCTTCAGTATCGGAAGTATTAATTGGTTTAAAACTTTTGTAACTTAAAAGCTCAAACATTTTAAATTGAAATATTTATTCTTAAGAAATATATTTTAAAAGAAACAGAACATTCTTAGCGTTTAAAACTATGTCTGAAAATTATAGAATGTATCCATAGATGCTTCAATTTATCTATAGTAATAAGCCTGTTAAAGACAAATCTTTTAGGCAACTCAGTCCTGGGCTAATTTCTTCAACACGACCAGTGATAACTCTGAATTAATCTATAAAACATTTTTAAAAATACTGTAATACATACTGCATAACCTTTTACCTTCAGTGGAAGTTTAGTCAACATTGCCTAACTGGTCTTTCTTCTGTACCAACTGCTCTTATTCTCATTGCTTTAATAATTTGACTGACTTACATTTTGAACTAATAATTGAGAATGTTTTCAGGAACATCTGACTATAATGAATCAAGTAAGAATATTTTGAAGCTTGTCCACCTCAAACTTTTGGTTCCTTTAATGTTGACTAACTTTGATGTTGTCTCTAAAATAGTTATTCAATGGTTATTAAAAAAAGTGAGATTTAACAAAAGGCTATGATAAGGAAATTCTCTAAAGGATTCCAAGACTATTGGTAAAACATTTTCTTCAGTCTGACTCAGATAGTAGAGTTGTAGGCCTGAGGTAAATAAATGCCAGTCCATAAATTTATCTGATCAATCAACAAACATTTACAACTCAGTCTTAGTTTTGATTTTTACAGTCAATGTTTAGCGAAAAATAAGTACATGTTATAGTCAATGTTCAGCAAAATAAAATTAGATTTTATGTGTACCCAAACAAATAAGTTGATTTTACAGTCACATTTTAGCCAAAAAAAATATTAAAGTTTACACACTTTTTGTAGTAAAACAATTATTTTTTACAAATTTAGATTTACAATAAATTTTTACAAAAACACACTTTTTTTTACATTTTTACAGTCAACCTTTAACGAAAAACAATCAAAAAATGTGGCAATCCTTTAATTCTTGAATCCTTTAACTTGTGCTCAGTGATTTTAAATTACCAAATAAGAGGTTTATATTTATGATACTGTGGAGTTTCGAAACAGAAATAATAGTGGGTATTTCCATCTTATTAAATTATAAAATAATTTCTTCTTGTAAAAAGTAGTACCCAACTATTTATTACAATTTGCCCACTGTTGATGTATGGGGATGGTTTTTTTTTCAACCCATTTAATCTATTTTGTGGTTGATTGATTATTTGGTTTGTTCTTTTTATCACTAATAGATTACATCTTTACTGTCCTTTTAATTTTTTTGATGTTGTCAATCTTATAATTAAGATTTATTTAATATAAATGTGTGAATATATCTACCTTATCATTTGACCTAAGTCTAACAGCCAACAAAACAATGAGCTCATTATATCCATAATTTTCAATACATTAAATACAACTTCAACATATCAGTTACCTGATAGTTTGCCAGTTTATTGATGAGATGTATTTTAAGCTATTTATTTACAAAACTGGAAAACCATTTGAAAATGAATCAATCCAATAAGTTGCCAGTTTAAGTAAATACCTGATTCATAAACTAATTATTTTTCCAAAAGTTTTCATATCTTTGTATAATTGAGTACAGGGGTGTAAACTTGCATGCCTGTGGATAGTCCAATGAGAATCAAATATTAGTGTTCAAAAGCCTTAACCCTTTGAGCCTGTGCCTCCATGGCCTAATTTCTGCCATTTCCTGAGCTCCCATATAATCAAGCCAAAGTTGGTATCCACGTACTGGATAAAACAACAATTCAGCAAGATTCTGAAATTCTTTATTTTCTTTACAATATATGAACATAACAATGTATATAAAACAAACACATAATTATTGTTTTGATAGAACATAGAAAAAACAAATTTACATTTAGTAATTGTTTTGTTATTATTTTTGTTATTATTGATACCGGTTATTGTTTTATATACTTAATAAACATGATGACCAAACTAGAGTAACTTACCTATTTACTGTTATTATAATAATAATTATAACCGAATAATAAAATAATATAAAATAACCAATTTTTTTTAGTTGACAATGTATTTTACGAAATGCACACACTATTACTTTCAACTGTCCCCAAAATCTATTTTTAAAATCATAATCCTGCACTAAAAAGACATATGCGCTGTTTTATTCAGTTTGCCGCTAATTATATTTAATAAGACGGTATACCAGCCCCTAGGATCATGACGCTAGATCATCGGGCCGGAAAACCAGCTTTTCGGACATATATGCCTAATTTTGAAGCCGGTTTTCAAAGGGTTAATACAATTTTCCATGCAGGCTATAAAGCAGGGCCTTCTCATTTAAATTTAAGATGTCTGAACAATTTTAAGCTAAAAAAATGTAAAAATATCTGCTGTTTTATAGACCTAAAAATCAAGCTTCTATTTTTAAAAGATTTTTATCAATTTTTGTTCTTTTTTTTTCCAGCTCCTCAAAGCCAGCATGACAAACTTGTTGTAGGGTTTAAAAACTCGGACTGGAACAGAAGGTAGTACATCTTCACATCTCATAATGCTAAGTGTAGGGCAGGGGCTTCTGGTTGTTTCATAAAGCTAAGTAGGCAGCTTAACAGAGCAGAAGGTAATACATCGCATCCCATAAACCATGATACTAAGTGTGGGGCAGGGATTCTGATCATAGGGAGTTGCTAAGAGGGTTTGAACTGTTACACACATAGCAAAAGTACAGAATGAAAAATCAGATTGGAAGAATAATTAGTTTAAAAAAAAAAGTTTTAACTATTTTATCCTCCAGTTTTTTCACGTTTATTTTAATTTATCGCTGTTTAATAAATCATCCAGTAAACACTTCATGCAATATGCAAGTAATTAAGTGCTTTTTCTCTTGTATTATTACACAATTAAAACAACTAAAAATTGAAAACTATTGCCTGTTAACCTGTGTGTACTGTTTTGGTTATGAATTTAAAAAAAAAGATCCACATTTCTGTTCAGACTTCAAGAAGAATCTGGAGCCATCTTGAAAGACTTTGAAGCACAAGTTATCCTCAAGGGAGAGATGCATAAAGCAGTAGACTATGCTACATCCTTTGGGAATCAAGTAAGGTTGAAAGACATTCAGGGTCTTTAAGCTCTGGTCCATGAAATCAAGTTCTGCAAAATTAGCTAACGCTTTAGACAGGTTTATACAAGTTACTAGCCGTCGGTACCCGTTAGACATGAATTATAGGTCTATATATTTTTAATGGTATACATTTTTTAGAAGAATGTTTTATAAAATAGTTATTGGTGCTTTACTACAGGTTTAACGATATTAGTGACAAACCAAATAAATAGCTAAAAGTCCGACACATTTAAAATAACATAGGCTACTTATGCATATTAGAAAAAATTAAACCAAATTATATACATAATTAGTCAACACAACAGCATATTAAATGCACACATTGATTAAAAGACTTAAATGATTACGTTAAAAACCCGGCTTTTCAACGGTATTTATGTTGTTTTTTAAAGTAATTTGTATTAGTTCTGGCCGAGGAAATGGTATAAATTTCATAAATTATGTCTCGATAAGTAAACCTATAGATCTAAATCAAATTGTAATGAAATAGTATATTTGTTCGTATTCTAAAATTGGAAGATGATGACATGTAAAAAAAATGTAAAAATAAAAATGATGAGGACAAAAAGTTTTTAATGTAACTGCAAAATTTTTTTATCTTTAAGAGTTAATCTTTCAATCTACAATGTTTTAACTGTTAATGTCTGCTTTAATTCCTTTTTTTTTACTTCAGGTCCTGGTTGTTGCCAAAAGAGCTTTTATTAACTTGATAAGAAACCCACAGACCAGCATCTTAACTGTACGTTTGTTTTATACAGCACAATTTACGCTTTCTATCCTCCTACAGATATCTCCTTATCACTCCCTAACATATCCACAACTCCTCCCCCCCCCCCCACCCCCATAGAAATATGGAAGGAAAATTATATAATTTATTTAAAAAAAAAATATTTTAATAAATATATACATGAACATTTATGTCACCCCTGAAGAAAAATGTCTGAAAGAAGCACTAGCAGAATTGTGATTCAGATGAACTCTACTTTAACTTACCTTTAGGTCTTCAAACCCATAAACAATTATTTAGTATTCTGGTAACAAAGGTTAGTTTTTTTAAATACATTATAGTAAAATGAGATTAATTCAATGTTTTAAAAAATATTGATTTTCTATACATCAGATCGCAACCTCAGTTGTCTTTTCCATCATCATTGGAGCCATTTACTGGCAGCTTAAGGCTTCTGCTGAACCAAGCAGTTTTAAAGACAGGTCAGGAGTTTAACATTCATTCCTATTGCTGCTTTAATTTCTTTTATTGTAACCAAGGTTTACAATGGATACCATAAATCTAGGCTAATAATTGTAACAAAAAGTCTATCAAATGGTAAACAGTTGCCCTTGCTTACTATAAGCTAATTAGTAAAAAAAAATTGACTTTAAAAATAATGAAGAACCGCGGCTTACATTGAGTAATTGAGAAAAGAAATTGGCTGAAATATAAAATAATTTTCTCTGAAAAGATTCAAATTTATTTCCAACTCTAGCTTTATCTGTCCTGAGTTTAGTAGGCAAAAATTGGTTTGATTAATTGCTCACCAGATAATTTTTTCCCATAATGCTGTGAGACAGCTGATATGTGCTCTCTTCCATTAGGTCCTAAAGTATACTTTCAAACTTTATAATTTCAATGAGTATAAATATATTTTTACATAAGTATATTTTTATATTTAAATGACATTTTTTTCTTGTTCAAATCTTGTAGGTCTGGTGTTATATTTTTCCTTATTATGAATCAGTTGTTTTTCAATATGTCAGCTGTGGAAGTCTTCATCAAAGAGAGGAAGATATTTATGTTGGTATTTTTTAAAAACTTTCTAGTTTGTTGTATATAGTGACAATTGTACTTGTGTGTCTGTAGTAAGGTTGTACAAAATTATATTGAAAAATGTACAAGTCTATAATGAAATATGTACAAGTATCTAGTGAAAGATGTACATGTTTGTCTGAAGTGAAAATTGTGCATGTGTTTATAGTGAAAGTTGTACAAATATCTAATGAAAGATGTACAAGAATATTGTGAAATTTGTACAAGTATCTAGTGAAAGATGTACATGTGTGTCCGAAGTGAAAATTGTGCATGTGTCTATAGTGAAAGGTGTACAAATATCAAATGAAAGATGTACATTACAGATGAATATTATCTCCTCAGGCATGAGAATGTCAGTGGTTTCTACAGAGTGTCAGTGTATTTCCTGGTGAAGATTCTGTTTGACATGATCCCACTGAGGATGGTTCCTGTCATAGTTTTGTCATGCATTGTCTACTGGTCTGTTGGTAAGCTGAAATACTTATCTCTCTCCTGTGGAAAATATATAAACCTGTATTATTTATTACTTTTTCATAAAATATGTGTTTTGTACCACATTTAAATACAAATCAAGATTATTCACATTTTATCTTTTTATATAAATAACTTAAAAGTTGATATAAATACATGATACACTCTGATCAGCATAGTGTAATGACTTAACATTTATAGATTATTTACACAATACTTAAACTTGATTGTGCCGAAGTCTAAAGGGAGTGACACATAGCCAGTACATTAAATTCTTGTGTGATGTGTCCATTAAATTATTACAATGCTTCGTAAAATTTATCTTAACTTATGGAAATCAGGCTCTCATTAAAGCAATTTGGATCCAGGAATGTGTACTAGATGTGTACTAGATATGTACCTGAAGTAGGGGTGTGCTCCAGATGGGAACCAGACTTCAAACGGGTGGTGGGGGAATCTGTAAAGTTTATGGTTGCTAAGCCAAAAAGCCCCAAGTTTGAACCCTGGGCACATGAAGCTCATTAACTGGGACAGCAACTCATCTAGGAGGACAAATCCAAAATCAAAACTGCTGCCTTGTAGTTAGTTTTTGGACGGGCTATGGAAGCAAGTCCAGAAAGAAAAGTAGGCTGAAATTGCAGTCTACTGCCTAGCGTATATGGAACATAACATGTTGACATGTAGTACTTAATTGTGTTGGAGGAAATACTGTCCTATATTACAATTAAGTATGAAAAAGAAGAAATTGGGGTTAGTGCAACATCCAATTTTAAAAATATTTTTATATTTGTAATTTTTTATGTAATTATAAAGCATGGGTCCTGAATAAACCCAACCCTCCTTTCTGCAGGTCTACATTCTGGAGCTGACTATTTCTTCCTGTTTATGCTCTGTCTCTTCTTGACAACAATGGCGGCCGCTGCCTTGTGTTTCCTCCTCAGCTCCATTGTTCAAATATTTGCAGTGGCCCAACTTCTGCTGGCCTTGTGCTACGTACTCATGATGGTAAGCTTTTGGTTTGGTTTTTTTATTATGGAGGTGGGTTACTGAACGTAAATTTATATAGGTAACTTGGACCAGTCAGCTTTGGATATCTTATTCCTATAGCTTAACCCTTTGAGCCCGGGCCTCCCTGGCCTAATTTCTCCAATTTCCTGAGCTCCCAGGGCCAAACCAAATTTTCACTTATCTGCTTCTAACTTTGCCTATAACTTTTGAACCGTTTGAGATAATCCAGCCAAATTTGGTATCCAGGCTCTGGATCAAACAACAATGCAGCAAGATTCTGAAATTCTTTATTTGTTTTACAATTTTTGAACAGAACAATGTATGTAAAATGAACACATAATTAATGTTTTGATAGAACATAGAAGAAACCAATTTACAATTAGTAATTGTTTTGTTATTATTAATACCTGGCCACACTAGTTCATCGCCAGAAGTCCACTTTTGTGTGATAACTTTCAAAACAGTTATCACCGCCGGACTCGATGCAAAGAAAAACTTCGCATGTTTTGCACCAGTAAACATTTTTTTTTCGTTTCGGCAAGTCTTTGTCCTTGACACCACGTGCGTCAGAACGTACTTGGACAGTTTCATTGTCACTGTCAATTTCAATGTCACTATGTTCAGCCTCAAATTCAATGTCACTATTATCACAATATAGACCAGGATTATTATTTTCTTCATCAGAATCAATAAGTAGTTGTATTGCCTGAGATGCAGTCATTCTTCTACTTCTTTTGTTGATATTTCGGTCTTTTGCTTCATCTTTTGCACCAACTTTATGTGATGAAGTCGACGGCTGTGGCTCAGCTTTTCGTTTCGGCGGCATTGCTACGAAATGTATACACTTTCACTTTTCCTAAAATCAATTTTTAAAATCACAATCCCGCACTCAAAAGACATATGCGCAGTTTTAGTCAGTCTTCCGCACATTATATATTTAATTAGACAGTATACCGGCCGCAAGGAATATGACGCTAGATCATCGGGCCGGAAAACCGGCTTTTTGGAGATATATGCCTAATGTTGAAGCCGGTTTACCGGCCTAGCGGGCTCAAAGGGTTAAAAGTTAAAATTTTAAAGTTGTAAATGAATTAAAAAAAGTTACTTAGTAGAACATATTGATACATTATAAACATTCTAAGTTGATAGTAAATGACTATAAGTTTTAAAATATTTGATTTGTTTCCTTGTTTTTTCCTCACCAGTTGCTTGGTGGCTTCCTAATCAACTTTGAGTCAATTGGTCCGTGGCTGCACTGGGCTCAGTACTTTAGTCTGTTCAAGTATTCACTGTCGGTAGGTAGATTTTGTTGAGGTTTTTTATTTATTTAGATTTTTTTAATTCACATAAATATTTCAAATAATGTACAAAGTGTATTATGGGTTGGCGTGGCATAGTGGTAGTTTGTTAGACTGTTAACCCAAAAGTCTCAAGTTTGAATCTGGTTTCTAGTCAGTATAACGTCTCTAAGTCCATCCTGCTCTGATGGGTACCTAACTCATGTTATGGATGTTAAAGTGCTTCATATGGCAAGGTCACAAAAACAGTGAACTCTACTTCATTTGCTCCATGGATCGTTAAGTTCAAGAAGGGAAGTTTACTTACATGGTGAATTTGAGTGGGAGATATTAGTGGACTTGTTCAGTTGTAACATTGGTTTTTTATTTCTTTCAGGCATTGTATATAAATGAATTCAAAGACAGAGAATTCTGTACTAATTCAACAACATGGTACGTAATATTAATTTTAAAAATAAAAATTGTACATTAAATCACTTATACAATAAATTGTACAATAAATCACGATGATTAAAAAATGATTTCATATGATTTTAATTTTTGTCTGTTCTGAAAATAGTATCTCGGGTAACAAGTACCTAGAACAACAGGATATGAGCTACCAGGAACCCTGGGATTTCTGGCAAAACTACGTGGCTCTATTCTTGTATGCCTGTGTTCTCTTCTCTCTGACATATGTTCGGCTGAGATTTATGAAGAAGACCTCATAAATGGCAAAATTGTTATCATATTGTTATTACTATATTAGCCAGTTCTTTCCAGCATGAATGATGAAAATTTGGGTACATGCTCAGGTTTATAATCATTGTATAGCGTCACATTTTCTTCTAACTCAGCCCTAAAAGAAAAATGAGCCCTAACACAAAACTTAATGCTTATCCAAACTGTATCATAATCTAAACTCTACCCTTGAACTAACAAAAGGCTGCCTTGACAATAGATAGCACTAAAAGTAAAAATGTGTATGACAGTAAACAATGTGTATAAAGTAAAAATAATTTGTACAAAAGATTCAAGTTGACATTATTTTGTGTGGCTGTGTGATAATAGGTAGGTGAACTTTTATTTTTTAAAACAAGGGAAGATAATTATTAGCGAGTATGAATGTTGAGTTGTCCTAACATATTTCATGTATGTAATATTCTGGCATGTACATAAATGTAGGGGAGGTAATTTAATAATTGTTTTCACACTTAAGGGGAGACCACAAAAAAAAATCTTATGTATAATACAGGCCGAATTAGTACATTGTAAATATATTTTGTTTTTGGCTATTAACGTTTTACTGTAAATAATGCAAAACAAAATTGTATGAATATTTATTGTTAACAGAAAGATTTTTGTTTGTTTGGAATATGTACATAGAATATACATTTTTATATATCTCAGTTAATAATTTTTTTAATACTTGACATTTTAAAATGTGAATAATTAATGTGACAGTGATCTTACAATAAAAGTATAACATATCTTTGTTATGTGTTATCAGAGTTTTAGTTTTTGAGGACAGGTTGTTTATGAATACAGGTGGAGCAGAGTATGTCTAATTTTTTAGATACAGCAGACAAGCCACATCTAGGCAACATTATCCTCTTCTTGCCAAGTCACATATATATAGGTGGTGACCCAATCAATATTCACATATATGTGGGTGATGTGACCCAACCAGTAGAGTCACATATATGTGGGTGTGGTGACCCAACCAAGTCACATATATGTGGGTGAGGTGACAACCAGTACAGTCATATATATGTGGGTGTGGTGACCCAACCAAGTCACATATATGTGGGTGAAGTGACAACCAGTACAGTCATATATATGTGGGTGTGGTGACCCAACCAAGTCACATATATGTGGGTGTGGTGACAACCAGTACAGTCATATATATGTGGGTGTGGTGACAACCAGTACAGTCATATATATGTGGGTGTGGTGACCCAACCAAGTCACATATATGTGGGTGTGGTGACAACCAGTACAGTCATATATATGTGGGTGTGGTGACCCAACCAAGTCACATATATGTGGGTGAAGTGACACAACCAGTAGAGTCGCATATATGTGGGTGTGGTGACCCAACCAGTAGTCACATATATGTGGGTGAAGTGACACAACCAGTAGAGTCGCATATATGTGGGTGTGGTGACCCAACCAGTAGTCACATATATGTGGGTGAGGTGACACAACCAGTAGAGTCACATATATGTGGGTGAGGTGACCCAACCAATAGTCACATATATGGGTGATGTGACCCAATAGTCACATATATGGGTGAGGTGACCCAATCAGAAGAGCCACACATATGTGGGTGTGGTGACAACCAGTATAGTCACATATATGTAGGTGAGGTGACACAACCAGTAGAGTCACATATATATGTGGGTGAGGTGACCCAACCAATAGTCACATATATGTGGGTGAGGTGACACAACCAGTAGAGTCACATATATGTGGGTGAGGTGACACAACCAGTAGAGTCACATATATATGTGGGTGAGGTGACCCAACCAATAGTCACATATATGTAGGTGAGGTGACACAACCAGTAGAGTCACATTAGAGCCGGCGTTAGGAATACGCGGGGCCTAGGGCCAACCATCAGAGCGGGGCCTTTCCATTATATATATATATATATAAATATATATATATATATATATATATATATATATAATGTATGTATAAAGGCCTATATAATGTGATGTACACATAATAACACACATGTTTTGGAGTTTATAAGCTAATGTCAAACTTTCCACTATAATAACAGATTTTTATCTCTCCCATGTATTAACCCAATGTTCGTAGTTTTTTTTCCTTTGCTAAGATATTAAATCACTTTTGACAGTTATGTAATTCATACCAAATCACTTAAGAAAATTTAATCACGTGCCGAATAATTAGGAAAATAAAGTTTACAATACAGCGAACTCGACCTGATGTATCAAAACTGTATAGACTTCAAAATTTGTTTAGAATTCATACAATATTTTAAAACCAAAAACATTGTTAGCGCAATTTCCATTCTGGAGAATTGCGTTTATTAACCCGTCATTTCTGGATGTATGAATGTATGAATGAATGGATGGATGGATGTGTGTCCGCAGCTTTAAGTCGTATCTCCTCCTCAACGAAGCAATATCGAGGACTAGTTCCAAAAGCAATTATGTTAAGCAAGTTACGAGGATGAACATAGGCCATAAAAATTCCGGGTTTCTTTCATGGATTTCGCGGAAAAGCCAAAAAACCTCGAAAAAATGCAGTTTTTGGCCCATATCTCGGCAACCAGACCACTTAGCGACTTGAAACATTTACCAATCGATTCCTGCCATAATTTAGAACAATATTGCCGAAGAAAAAAATATCCTTTCGTTCGGTCACAAAATTTTTTTTGAATTAATTAAAATTTGGACCGAATTAGTAGGCATGTTTATCCAACCACACCACACGCGTCATCACGTTCAATAGCTGCGCCATCACGTTCGGTAGCTAGGCGCGCAATGGTTTTTAGTCATGTAACTGTATTGTAAATAAAACATGTAAAATACTGAAAAAAAATTAATAAAAAACGTTTTAATAACTAACCAATGGTTTTACTAACCCTGCTCTTGATTTACGCTACGACAGAGCTATTTTTAGATAACATAAGGAAATTGCGCTAAAATTGTCACTAGACTTTTTAATTACCTTGTCTTAATTATTGAACGGGTGAATCCTTAAGGTGACACAACATAACAACAGTTTTAACTTTCTTCCAAAAAATAATAATAAATCACTCTGTTTAATGCCCCCTGATATAGATCCTAAGGGCACCCCCCCCCCCATCGTCGCCCTCCTCCCACCCCTCTGCACGCAACTGAATGTTAATTTTGTTATACCAAGACAAGTAGGCCTACATATAGAGTTTCTTCCAGGCATCTCTTCGGGGGCAAGCCCCCCCCCCCCCCCGAAAACGAAATGAAATTTATATAATTTATATAGAAATTCATGGGTTCGCATACAATAGGGTATCTCTTTACGTCGTGGGCTAATTCTCGACCGCCATCTCCAGTCAGCTCAGGTCAAATGCCAGGCGACCGTACCCTACACAAAGGGAAGGTGTGACACTATTTTTGTATCGAATTACGGCCTGTCCCAGTTCAGGTGGGACTCACCAACATCAACCGTGGCCTCAGTTATAACAATCAACAACGTCGGCATTCGACCATTTAGTTTTTCCCAATTGAATTCAGCAACCATTTTTTTAAGTTTACGAACTAATTCAGATAACAATGACATTGCTGAAGCGCGGGGCCCCTTCAAGCGCGGGGCCTATGGCGACCCCCTAACGCCGGCTCTGAGTCACATATATGTGGGTGTGGTGACCCAACCAGTAGAGTCACATATGTTCCCAACCGCAGGAACAATATATTTGAAATAAAAGCATATAATCTACAATCTACACACTTCATCGGAAAAACACAACCACCAAAAAACACGGGGTTCCCTTAGTGTGTATGGGGGGGGGGGGGGGGGGCGGAAGAGAAGCGACAATTTTTTACAACATGTGACGCTAAAGGAAACCTTTTAAATTGTCTGACAGTTTGACGTCATCTATGCACGACCCCTAAGAATCTCGGCATGCAGCGCGCGACTTTGACATGTCCTTCACTTATCGAAATCCACTTCAAGGGAAGTAACCCGTGTGACAAATTAGCCACGCAGCATACGACACTCGTCGGAGCGTGAACGCCAGAAGACATTCTTGACTTTGGAATCACCGAAGGACTTGCGCAGTGGCGGAGGCAGGGTTTTGTGGTTAAGTATGCGAAAAGGTGGTTTTAAAACCTTCACAATTTTGAAAGTGAATTTAATCGGTAGACCAACGCGAGACTGGATGGATTTCTTTTAGTCATTTTTCTCCTCCTCAGCACGAGTATGTCGGGGAAAAAACTGAATATTAAACAATTTTAGTTAAACAAATTAAAGCCACGCTAAGCAAGATCATTAAAAGATGTAGTATATTATGAACGAATATCTTTTCCTTTTAAATGGAAAACCTTTTGTAGCAACCTAAATTGTTTTTCTGGGTAACTGTATCGAATGGTAGACTAACGAGATAAAAGCTGATTAATGTTGTGTAAAAAACCTGCGTCATGTTTTATTGCTAGAATAGAATGTCTTGTGCATGCTAGTTGGTTCTAAGTTAGGATACTGAGATACAGGACTTTGATACGTAGCAAATTGTTCATGGTGTCTACACATGTATACGACTATCAGAGGCGTAGCGAACCATTACAGCACCACAGCTCCAGGGGTAAACTATCCATTTAGCACCCCCCCTACCTCACGCCCATTTATATATAGTTATTCAATTTTTGTGAAAATAAACACCCTCCCCCACCCTCTTAGTTGGAAAGGTTGGTGGCGCTTTGTACTATTCACTATCCGGTAAAAGTTTTAATTTTGGTGCCATATAAATGATGTACAAAAAGTTGTGTATATATATATATATATATATATATATATATATATATATATATATATATATATATATATATATATATATATATATATATATATATATATATATATATATATATATATATATATATATATATATATATATACTAACCGTCCCGGCCAGGCCCTGCACTGGCATCTCTGAAAAACGTATCTGTAAAGGACCATAACTTGTGTGTTTAGTAATCAGCATTTATCAGGCATTGTCCACCCTAACCACAACCAACCAAAACACACAAAAAAAACCGCAAAAATAACACTAACACAAAACAAACACAAACGAAAACACAAAAACAAAAGCAAAGACAAACCCAACCACAAACACAAAGAAAACACAAAAACTAACGCAAACAAAAAAGCAACGAATACAAATCCAAACGCAAACACAAACCCAACCACAACCAAACAAAACCAAAACACAAAAAAAAACGCAAACATAACACAAACGCAAATACAAACACAAACGAAAACACAAAAACAAACGCAAACACAAACACAATCACAAACACAAAGAAAACACAAACGCAAAGAAAAAAAAGCAAACGAAAACAAACCCAAACCCAAACGCAAACACAACCACAAACGCAAACCCAAACTCAAACACAAAGAAAACACAAACGCAAAGATAAACTCAAAGTGTCCACAGTCTAGCCCGGGGCGCCAAATCGCACCATGACGACGTGCGGCGTAACCGCCTGATTCAACTTAGTAAACGACTATAGTACCCAACTTATTCATAGTCTTTTTGAACTCACTTACGCGAACGTAGGTACCATAGTGTACATGGGAAGGCCCGGGGCGCCAAATAGCACCCTGTCGGGGTGCCGGAGGACGCCCGGATTTGATTCACTTAAAGACTATAGTAACCTTTCTTATCTATAGTCTATCGCACTGTTTAAAACAAAATTATGCAGCATAGTGCTCACATGATAGCCCAGGGCGCCAAATCGAACCGTGCAGGGGCGCCGGCGGACGCGCCTGTTTCAATTTAGAGAAAAAAATTATAATACTCCAAGCTTATCCGTAAATGGAAAGAAATAAACATATAGGATTTGTAGGACCTGGCTTAAATGTTAGTGATTTAAAAAAAATAATTAGGTAACAGTATGTTCAGTGCATAGAATAAATAAGGCAGTATTAAAAATACCAACGACATTGCACTTAATCAATCCCCGCTAATTATGTAATTAGTTGCCGCACCAGGTGACACTTGACCTAGCGACGCCACTGTCTTGAACGTTTGCCTTTTTGACTATCTTTCACACTACTGTTCACCCCACTTCCATTAGCTACGCCTCTGCCACCCCCACCCCCCCTCCCAAAATTAAAACAAAAACGGAACAACAAAAACCTGCCTACGTCACTGCTTATAATCAATTATTTAAAAAAAAACAACAACATTAGACCCGTGGAAACCCGCCCGCCAGATCCACAGAAACTCTCTAACACAGCACTTTGATCGCTTGCATGCAAACACAATGGCAGTGGTCGTGCTAGCTACACGCCGCAGCAGTGGCAAACACAGTAATTTAGACGTATCGAGCGTTACAACTAAAATTAAATCAATCAATACATCATCGTGATTCACCCTGGATTAATGCCTGCCGTCAACAATAAAAGCGTAGAACTCAGTTTAAAAAAAATAATTCCCATTTACTTCTCATTGGCATACTTAATACCTAGATATAGAGAAAAACAACGAAAATTTCTTGAAAAAGGGTCATCTTGCCCTCCCCCCCCCCCCCCCGTTTTTCTTCTTTTTTATGAAACGGGAATGTCCAAGGTTATAAATAGATCTAAGCATAGAATTATTTCTACCCAGTCAAAATTATCACCACGAGCCGGCGTACGTGCAGATATTATCCGGGATATTTTACTAGATCTACAGAAACCTGTCTGATATTATTCTGGGATTTTGTTTGTTATATTTCAAACCTGGATGTAAAGGTATGCTTTGATACAATTTTAACATAAAACTCAAATCAAGGCAAACATAGCCTGTTCTTTACAGCCGAGAGAAAGTAGGTCACCAGACAGAGGCTTGCGTGTGTTACCGTCTGCACCAAGCAGAGTTATCGGCATTGGTTATTGTTCTGTAGAATATTGACCTACTCTCTACTCACTACACACGTTGATAAATTGTCGTGCTAATCGAGTGCTAATCTCGTCACGTAATTATCTCCTTTTTAATTTTTTTTCCTTTTAAAGACAAAGTATGTCCCACTTCCTTGATATGTTGCTATGTTGTTTTAAAACCTTTCTAAATAATAATATTTCTTTTTTTTTTGTGTGTAGAGAATCTACATTACATTAGCTACATAACTACATTATTATATAGATCTATGTTAAAATGGTTAGGCCTAACTAATCTAATTTTAACGTGTTGGGCAGTTTAATTACAGCGATGTAATACAATAATAAATATATTCAAATGTTATGATAATCCCCCCTCCCCTAGGCGACGTAAAACTACTGACATCAACATTTTCCTCAATGCTGACCCACTTTTGGAAATATTTAAGTGAAGAAAAGTTGAAAAAGATTTCTCTCCTCGTTTTGTATTTTAGGTTGTTTAATCGCGATAAATAATACTTTAACACATCGGGCCTAGAGAATAAATACTAAAACACATGACAATAAACAAAATATAGAATCTAGATAGGCTTATATTTTATGAATTTTTTACCACACATAACACTACCACCCCTCTTTAACACTACCACCCCAGTTTAACACTACCACCCCTCTTTAACACTACCACCCCAGTTTAACACTACCACCCCTCTTTAACACTACCACCCCTCTTTAACACTATTTCCCCTCTTTAACACTACCACCCCTAACACTACCACCCCTAACACTACCACACCTAACACTATTACCCCTAACACTACCACCCCTAACACTACCACCCCTAACACTACCATCCCTAACACTGCCACCCCTAACACTACCACCCCTAACACTACCACACCTAACACTACCACCCCTAACTCTACCACCTCTAACATTACCACCCCTCTTTAACACTACCACTCCTCTTTAACACTACCACCCCTAACTCTACCACCTCTAACATTACCACCCCTCTTTAACACTACCACCCCTCTTTAACACTACCACCCCTAACACTACCGCCCCTAACACTACCACCCATAACACTACCACACCTAACACTACCACCCCTAACTCTACCACCTCTAACATTACCACCCCTCTTTAACACTACCACTCCTCTTTAACACTACCACCCCTAACTCTACCACCTCTAACATTACCGACCCTCTTTAACACTACCACCCCTAACACTACCACCCCTAACACTGCCACCCCTAAGACTACCACCCCTAACACTACCACCGCTAACACTACCACCCCTCTTTAACACTACCACCCCTAACACTACCACTCCTAACACTACCACCCCTCTTTAACACTACCACCCCTAACACAGTACACTACCACCTTTAACACTACTAGCAAAAACAAAATACAATTTCCAGTTTTACATAGTGTGAAATAAAAAAAACAACTTTACAAGGAACTAAATTAAAATTTATAATCACCCAATTACCCAGCGTCTAGGCTATAATTAAATAAATCGCATTAACAGGTTAGTCAAAGCACATAAATATGAATACACTTTGAATAATAAACAAAAATTACTGGAGTTTTGATCAATTGTAAAATACAAAAATCAATACCAGTGTATGAATACATTTTATTATGCTGGAGGCGTGTGTCATTAAACAAACTAGCGACATGTAGGATTATTAGGATACATGTTTTAGAGTTAGACATGGGCCAGGGGTTCTCAGCCTATTTTCTTGAATGGGTTGACACTATGTGTACCTCCAAGGTTCCTGTTTGACTGCATGTTAAGTGAGTACCTATCTATACAAGCCAACAGTAAAGATGTACGAGAACTCTGGCATTGGTGTCGATTACTTTGAGAACCTTTGATACCAGCCAAACTCTGCATCAATAGGAAGTTGACTCACGCCCAAACTGGGGTGTGTCAGAGAGTTTCGCTATCACATATCACCCATTAAAAAAAAAACCTATTTAAAAATAAAGTATATAATTCAGAGGCGTAGCGACCCCTCCCGGCGCCCGGGGACAAACTTTCCATTTGGCGCACACCCCCATTTATTTTTCATATTTATAATTCAAAATAGTAGCTAAAATTAGCTTATTTTGGCGCTTCTAGGGTCGGCGCCCGGGGACATATGTACCCCCCGCCACCGTCGCTACGCCTTTGATATAATGAGTCGTTATGCTGAACGTGTTTCTCGGTATCATGTTGCCTAGTCAGATGCAGCGGTAGGAAACAGACCTACACGCAACCTTCCCTTTATGCCGTGTGTGCAAATTTTGTGTACGCGGTGCTCTTGATGACGTGTACACGGTTATCTGTATGTAATAAACATGACAGGCGTCAGGCCTGCATCTTATGCTTGTCCACGTGGTTGAGAGACAACGTTGCCACAACACAGTTGCCACATTGTACAACACAGTTGCCACATTGCCACAACAAAACTATTACATTGCCAAATTGTACAACAAAATTGCTAGATTGTATGGCCTACAACGAAATGATGCTACGACATTAGTGGAAATTATTTCTAGATCTATACCCAATCCGTTTTTCACACAAAATTACGATTTTTTTTTCTCGGTGTCTCCCCCTAAATGGTGTCACCCGGTGCGATCCGCAACGCCCGCCTCCGCATCGCGACGCCTCTGGACCAACACAATTACCTAGTTAGATAACATTGACTAATTAGATAACATTGACTAATTAGATAACATTGATAGGTATTGTTCCATGTAATACGTCATATGACCTACATCGTGGATTCAGTGCGGTATCAAAACATTTCGACCTAAATCTCCGTCGGAAATTCTTCTTTAAACCGTATATCTACGACAGCTCAAAGAATGTTTCGACGTGTGGTCTTCGTAGGAACACACCCTGACAGCAACAGATGACAGCCATGACAGAACTGTGTCACTGTGCTTTCACAGAACACAACGACGAGTCTCCGGCTTCACCGTACGATCACCGGAGCGTGACGGTGCCGCAGAGATTCTAAAATAAACCAGTTCTTCGGGTTCAGTCTGCACCATCATGGTTCAGTACATTCAGGGCTTCTGTTAGCACCAACGCTACCACTAGACCATGGTCCAGTACATTCAGGGCTTTTGTCAGCACCAACGCTACCACTAGACCATGGTCCAGTACATTCAGGGCTTCTGTTAGCACCAACACTATCATTAGATCATGGTTCAGTACATTCAGGGCTTCTGTCAGCACCAACGCTACCACTAGACCATGGTCCAGTACATTCAGGGCTTTTGTCAGCACCAACGCTACCACTAGACCATGGTCCAGTACATTCAGGGCTTCTGTTAGCACCAACACTACCACTAGATCATGGTCCAGTGGATTCTGTTAGCACCAACACTACCACTAGATCATGGTCCAGTACATTCAGGGCTTCTGTCGGCACCAACACTACCATCAGCACCAACACTACCACTAGATCATGGTCCAGTACATTCAGGGCTTCTGTCGGCACCAACACTACCACTAGATCATGGTCCAGTGGATTCTGTTAGCACCAACACTACCACTAGATCATGGTCCAGTACATTCAGGGCTTCTGTCGGCACCAACACTACCACTAGATCATGGTCCAGTGGATTCTGTTAGCACCAACACTACCACTAGATCATGGTCCAGTACATTCAGGGCTTCTGTTAGCACCAACACTACCACTAGATCATGGTCCAGTGGGTCTGTTAGCACCAACACTACCACTAGATCATTGTCCAGTGGGTCTGTTAGCACCAACACTACCACTAGATCATTGTCCAGTGGGTTCTGTCGGCACCAACACTACCACTATATCATGGTCCAGTACATTCAGATGTTTGATTGCCGGTGTCTGTCTAACAAACATCCAGATATAAATCATACATACGTCCGATTCAAACAATTTTCTAGACATGAAACAAATGCTGGGTTAGACTAGCACTTGTGCTCAAAGTTTCTTCCAAGCATCTCTTCGGCGAGCCCCTCCCCCATCCCCCCTAAAATAGTCCACCCCCACCCCCCAAAACAAAATTGAATGTGTATAGAAAATATATACTTTTACCAGTGTCCCCCCGAAAATTTAGTCCGCCTCCCCCCCCCCCCGAAAATGTCAAGTGCGCCCCCCCCCCCCCCGAGAGTAAAAAGTCTGAAAGAAAGACTGCTTGTGCTTTTTTATACTAGCCAGTGGTGCCCAAGTGGGCTTATGAAATTTGTCAAGCAGTTTTTCTCGTTTATTTGCAAGATAAACTCTGTTTTTTGTGTGTGTTAAATGCTGATTTTAAAGTCACAAGTTGACTCGTAAGTCAAACACCGAGTTTAAGCCAAACAAAGATTTGAATTCATGCAGTAAATCGGAAGTCATATATTGACTCATCAATGGCTTGTTAGTTGTACACATTAAAACAGGTTCTAACAATATATAAAATGTACCAATTAACCTGCTGATGTAACGTTTATTGAGAGAGATAAACGGTGCTCTATGATACCATATGAATGTGATGAATGTAAGCCACAGTTTCCAGTAAGACGATAGCGATACTACAGTGATTTAATAATTACAGAGATATAATAATGATATTAGTGTGATATAAAAATGCTATTACCGTGATATTATAATGCTATTACTACCGTGATATAATAATGATATATTACAGTGATAATAGTGATATCATAGAAATATTATTACAGTTATATAATAGTGATTTCATAGATATTACTATAACATCTCGATGATATTACCTCTCCGAAAACAGACATTTTATTTTCCTGCTTTCACACAAATGACAGATTAGATTATCTCATAGGTCAGTCGCCTAAATGGTTCATCTGTCATGTGTTGTGACGTAATGTGTCATACGATTTCTAACATAACATACGTGTGTTATGTTGTACGTAAAGTAATGTGTCATTTATTACGATTTCTCACAACACATCAGTGTGTTATGTTGCGAAGTAATGTGTCATTTCATTGATTTGTTGTGATGTGACGTATAGCATACCACCATACAATTTCTATCGTACATCAATATGCTGTGACGTATTGTGTGACATACAATTTCTATCGTACATCAATATGCTGTGACGTATTGTGTGACATGCAATTTCTATTGTCCATCAATATGCTGTGACGTATTGTGTGACATACAATTTCTATCGTACATCAATATGCTGTGACGTATTGTGTGACATACAATTTCTATTGTCCATCAATATGCTGTGACTTATTGTGTGACATACAATTTCTATTGTCCATCAATATGCTGTGACGCATATGTGACATACAATTTCTATCGTACATCAATATGCTGTGACGTATTGTGTGACATACAATTTCTATCGTACATCAATATGCTGTGACGTCATATGTGACATATAATTTCTATCGTACATCAATATGCTGTGACGTATTGTGTGACATACAATTTCTCGTTTTATTTTCTCAGTGTCTGTGACGGATGGCCCCATCAAACTCTGAAGCCAGTCCAGCTGACAGATGACAGACGTGTTGGACATGACGGACATGTCCGCTGTGACAGACGTCCTTGACGTCACGTCACAGGAGGCCGCGCAGCTGATCAAGGTCAGCTCATCGATCAGCAATGGTCAATCGGACATCGATCAGCGCCAGCGGGTCCTGTCTGCTCACCACATCAACCACACGCTCAAGGTGAAGGACAAGCTTTGTCCGCTGCTAAAAACACAGAAGCAAATACTCTTTGACGTCAGGTGTGTAGACAGGGATTGTTAGGTTTACCTGTGACAGGTAATGTTAGGTTTACCTGTGACAGGTAATGTTAGGTTTACCTGTGACAGGTAATGTTAGGTTTACCTGTGACAGGAAAAGTTAGGTTTACCTCTGACAATGTTTATTAATGAATCTATTCTCATTAGGCTAGTTAACCTTCCATAAGAGAAGTGTTGTAGTTTTTGTGTCAGCCCATATTGTAAGCCCATATTGTAAGCTCATATTGTAAGCTCATGTTGTAAGCTCATATTGTAAGCTCATATTGTAAGCTCATGTTGTAAGCCCATGTTATAATTCCATATTGTAAGCCCATATTGTAACCCCTATTATAAGCCCATATTGTAAGCCATATTGGAAGCCCATATTGTAAACCCTATTATAAGCCCATATTGTAAACCCTATTATAAGCCTAAATTGTAAGCCATATTGTAAGCCCATATTGTAAACCCTATTGTAAGCCCATATTGTAAACCTTATTATAAGCCCATATTGTAAACCCTATTATAAGCCCATATTGTAGGCTCATATTGTAAGCTCATGTTGTAAGCCCTATTATAAGCCCATATTGTAGGCTCATATTGTAAGCTCATGTTGTAAGCCCCTTATAAGCCCATATTGTAAGCCCATATTGTAAACCCTATTATTAACCCATATCGTAAGCCCCTATTATAAGCCCATATTGTAAGCCCATATTGTAAACCCTAAGCACATATCGTAAGCCCCTATTATAAGCTTCTATTGTAAGCCCCTAAGAATTGTTCTGTGTGTGTCTACAGTAGTATCTTCAGGCCCGGCGTCAGTGCCATCATGGGACCTACAGGCTCAGGGAAGACCACGTAAGTTACCTGTAATCACCCTAATTGCCGTGGAATTTTTTATTCCACTTATTATCTTCTACCTAGTCTGTTCTGACCCTCTTCTCTTCTTCTTATTGATAAATATCTACCGTAAAGTATTATGTCTCCCTCCCCCGCACTTCTACTGATCAGTGTTTCTTTCAGGATTTTTTTTTGGGGGGGGGGGGGCAGTGTTTCTTCCAGACTTTTTTTCTCCGGGGGGGGGGGGGGGCACTTGAAATTTTCGGGGGGGGGGGGGGGCGGACACTGAAGTTTTGTTCGGGGGCGGTAACTGTTCTGACGAGGAGAAGCCTGAAACACCTTGATTAAAAATTCTGCTCCCGATTGTCTCCTGGCGAATTTTTAAAAATACAATGTAATTTATATACAAAATATTTTATTCAACCAGCGGCCCCCTCCCCAATTTTTAAGTGCCAGCAAAAAAATATCAGAAAGAAACCCTGTATATAAAAACAGTAGCGTGGTATAGACCTATTGCTAGAAGCCTAGCATCACTGGTATTTGTTCCACTGTCTCTCAACCCAGGTTGCTGGACATCCTGGCTGGCCGGACAACCCCTGACCGTGGGGCGACACTTCTGCTGGACGGTCATGATGTGCCCAGTAACTTCCGGTTTCTTGTTGGTTATGTTGTCCAGGTAATAACATTTTTTTTTATATTTTGTTAATACAGTTTGAAGATAGGCTAGCTACGTTTTGTTGGCAAGCTTAAAAACTGTTTAGCTGTTTATAATGTTGTAATTTTTTCACTCCTGATGTTGAGAATTTCCACAGCTACTTTATAACATTTGAAATAGATGCAAGTTGGGTATGTTGGTTTGAAACCTACTCTAACCCGTGCTGATATTATCACCTTGTGAAAGTCTTGCACGGGAGTATAGACCATAATCTTTGTGCACTCTTTGTAATCCATAATCTACGTACAATTCGCTGTATCACATTTTTTTTTTACCAAAACCTAGAAAAACTGACCATCTTTCGTTGGTCAAATTTTTTCCATCAAGAAGACGTCATTATATAGACAAACTGACCATCCACATCGACCTTGTCTGTCTCCCCCTCCCCCCCCCGTTTACCCACAGGATGACGTCATCATGGACACCCTGACTGTCCGAGAGAACCTCAACTTCTCCGCCTCCCTGCGGCTGCCCCCCTCCCTCAGCGCCCAGGCCAGGGCGGACAAGGTGACGTCAGTCATCCGGGAACTTCACCTGGAGAAGTGCGCTGACCACAAGGTCAGTTGGGGAGGGTCGCTCTGCTGGTCCATGGACCTCATCATTAATTAAGTTTAATTGGATGTTACGTAATTAAACTAAGCACGGCATCCAGATGTCGCAAGCCTAAATGATAGTTTGTAGGACAGTGAAGTGACCTCCATTTAAAAAAAACTAGTGGGGGTCAGGGTCGTCAATAAACGATGTCACACTTTTTATAACGATTCCCCCCCCCCCCTATCTTGGTGAGTGTAGAAGATGTATTTGAACCTGCCGCCATACCGTGCCAACTTGACTTCATAAACGTCTTTAAACATGGCGGAACTAGTATCCCACAGGCTAGCGCTGAGGAATGAGGGGGGGGGGGGTGTTAAACTATACAAATTACAATTAAGCTCGTTTAAGGCATTTCTTTTTAAATATACACAAACGTGATACTGATTAGATTGCTAGGGTTTGGGTTAGAATTCTTCACTTTATCCAAATTTTTCTTCTGGGCATTGCAGATAGGCAACGAGCTGATAAGGGGCGTGTCAGGGGGAGAGAAGAAACGATGCAACATTGGTATGGAGCTCATCATCTCCCCTCCTGTGCTATTTTTAGACGAGCCCACATCCGGTCTGGACTCAAACACGGCTAGCAATGTCCTCATTTTACTCAAGAGGTTGGTCTATTTATCTTTTTGGTCTATTTTTTATCTTTTTGGTCTATTTTTATCTTTTTGGTCTATTTTTATCTTTTTAGTCTATTTTTGTCTTTTTGTTCTATTTTATCTTTTTGGTCTTATTTTCGGGTCTATTTTATCTTTTTGGTCTATTTTTATTTTTGGTCTATTTTTATCTTTTTGGTCTATTTTTTTATCTTTTTGGTCTATTTTATTTATCTTTTTGGTCTATTTTTATCTTTTTGGTCTATTTTATCTTTTTGGTCTTATTTTCGGGTCTATTTTATCTTTTTGGTCTATTTTTATTTTTGGTCTATTTTTATCTTTTTGGTCTATTTTTATCTTTTTGGTCTATTTTTATCTTTTTAGTCTATTTTTGTCTTTTTGTTCTATTTTATCTTTTTGGTCTTATTTTCGGGTCTATTTTATCTTTTTGGTCTATTTTTATTTTTGGTCTATTTTTATCTTTTTGGTCTATTTTTTTATCTTTTTGGTCTATTTTATTTATCTTTTTGGTCTATTTTTATCTTTTTGGTCTATTTTATCTTTTTGGTCTTATTTTCGGGTCTATTTTATCTTTTTGGTCTATTTTTATTTTTGGTCTATTTTTATCTTTTTGGTCTATTTTTTTATCTTTTTGGTCTATTTTTATCTTTTTGGTCTATTTTCATCTTTTTGGTCTATTTTTATCTTTTTGTTGAGGGATTTTTGTCACAACACCCGCAATAGCTCAACACCATTTACAAAACTATAACAGTTTGTGCTAGCCACGCCCACTACCAGTCCTACTATTGTGATTGACAGGCTCGCGAGCAAAGGCCGGACCATCATCTTGTCCATCCACCAGCCCCGCTACACGGCGTACGGCCTGTTTGACCACCTGCTGCTCTTGTCCCACGGTCACGTGGTCTACGACGGACCAACCGGCGACACGCTGGACTACTTCTCCTCTCTAGGTGAACACTTTTATCTCGGTGACTATTTGGTGAGACGTACCCAGTGGTTCTTTCAGACATTTTTCTCCTAGTGGGGTGGGAAGGTTGGGGGACTTGAAACTACGTTGGGGGGGGGGGGGGGGGAGACCGATACTCGTTAAAGTAGGCTCTATATATTTTACGTGATAATTTATACACTATTTCTACTTTATGGGGGGGGGGGGGGGTGAGGGGGATCAGTGCGACCAATATGAAACTGGTTGTAACTACTATAGTCAAATTAACTGTATCGGAAATATTCTCATTATATCCATTTAAAGGACAACATTTTGAATCTATTAGAGTTTATCAAACTCGTTCAACAATGCTTTAAAGTTTTCGGGGAAAGAGCGGCGCTAGAATCTTCCTGGAAAAACCTTGTTAACAGAGCCGGCGTTAGGAATACGCGGGGCCTAGGGCCAACCATCCGCGCGGGGCCTTTCCATTATATAAATATATATATATATATATATATATATATATATATATATATATATATTATATATATATATATATATATATATATATATATATATATATATATATATATATATATATATATATATATATATATATATATATATATATATATAAAGGCTTATATCAGGTGATGTACACATAATAACACAAATGTTTTGGAGTTTATAAGCTAATGTCAAACTTTCCACTATAATAACAGATTTTTATCTATGTATTAACCCAATGTTCGTAGTTTTTTTTTTCCTTTGCTAAGATATTAAATCACTTTTGACAGTTATGTAATTCATACCAAATCACTTAAGAAAATTTAATCACGTGCCGAATAATTAGGAAAATAAAGTTTACAATACAGCGAACTCGGCCTGATGTATCAAAACAGTATAGACTTCAAAATGTGTTTAGAATTCATACAATATTTTAAAACCAAAAACATTATTGTCTTAATTATTGAACGGGTGAATCCTTTAGGTGACACAACATAACAACAGTTTTAACTTTCTTCCAAAAAATAATAATAAATCACTCTGTTAAATGCCGCCTGATATAGATCCTAGGGGCCCTTCCCCCCCCCCCCCCTCGTTGCCCTCCTCCCACCCCTCTGCACGCAACTGAAGGTTAATTTTGTTATACCAAGACAAGTAGGCCTACATATAGAGTTTCTTCCAGGCATCTTTTCGGGGGGGGGGGGGGGGGGGGGGGAAGCCCCCCCCCCCCCCTCCCGAAAACGAAATTTATATAGAAAATATATACTTTTAACACTGTCCGCCCTCCCCTTCCCCTAAGAAAATCTACCGCCCCCCCCCCCCCCCGAAAATTTCAAGTGCCCCCCCCCCCCCCCCCGGAGAAAAAAGTCTGGAAGAAACACTGTACATATACGACAACTACAACAAGAAAATCAGGACTAGAGTTAATCAGGTCACTAACTGTCTACTACAGACATCCCGACATTGTTCTCATACAATAGGGTATCTCTTTACGTCGTGGGCTAATTCTCGACCGCCATCTCCAGTCAGCTCAGGTCAAATGCCAGGCGACCGTACCCTACACAAAGGGTAGGTGTGACACTATTTTTGTATCGAATTACGGCCTGTCCCAGTTCAGGTGGGACTCACCAACATCAACCGTGGCCTCAGTTATAACAATCAACAACGTCGGCATTCGACCATTTAGTTTTTCCCAAGTGAATTCAGCAACGATTTTTTTAAGTTTACGAACTAATTCAGATAACAATGACAGTGCTGAAGCGCGGGGCCCCTTCAAGCGCGGGGCCTATGGCGACCGCCCCGTTCGCCACCCCCTAACGCCGGCTCTGCCTGTTAAAGTATAAATTATGTAGTGTATAATTTTCTATTCCGTCTCAGGGCAGGGATCGGCTTGTCACGATTCATAGGTGGTGGGGGTGGTGTGGAGGGGGGGGGGGGCGAATATACCTGGAGGTGGTGGGGGTGGTGTGGAGGGGGGATGGGGCGAATATACCTGGAGGTGGTGGGGGTGGTGTGGAGGGGGGATGGGGCGAATATACCTGGAAGAAACTTTTCAAGAAACGCTGTTTAAAAAATAAAACTGCTAAATTACACAAGGACGATCAAAAACCGAAACAACAAGTTCTTTCACAAAAAATTTTTTTTAAAGAAACAGAATTTAGAAACAAGCCTCAGTTTATTCAGAATTTAAAAAAAAAACACTGTAGTATCTCAAACAAAATTACAGAAAACGCTAGTAAGTTTTTAAAAACGCCTTTTAGTCATAAACTTAATCAATCTTTATTCTAATTTCCTTAACATTTTCAACGTCATTAGCGATTTGATAAAAAAAAAAAAAAAGAAAGAGAGAATGTTAATAAAAAAAGGAGCAACATATTTTGTGTTTAATAGAAATAAGCCAACCCTTCTCCGAGCCACTGAAAAGTCATGTCTGACTTTAGGCTACCCGCTGACTTAAAGTCATATTTCTGACTTCAGGCTACGTTTGTCTTAAAGTCATATTTCTGACTTCAGGCTACGTTTGTCTTAAAGTCATATTTCTGACTTCAGGCTACGTTTGTCTTAAAGTCATATTTCTGACTTCAAGCTACCCGCTGTCTTAAAGTCATATTTCTGACTTCAGGCTACGTTTGTCCCGAGCACCAAAACCCAGCTGACTACTTCCTTGACGTCATCAACTGTGACGTCAACACGATCAAAACCAGCCCGCCCCACGTATCAAACGGGGATTCCCCAAACCACGAGTCTCAAAACCACACATTCAGCCAGAGTTTTCTACTGGGAGCGTCAAGTGATCCAAGTACAAACCACAACAATACAAACATGGATCAGACTGGAGATGCTATGCCACTGGTGTATATAGAGGACCAGGAAGGTAATTCGTTTAACTAAAAAAAAAGGTCAGTGACCTGCTTTTGGGGTTGTCTATAAATGACCTCACGCAGTTTTTGACATTTGATGTGATGTAACTTCAGCTCTCTCTCTCTTCCCCCCCCCCCCCTAACACACGCACCAATTTGTAGAAATTTGTGGTTTTCTTCCTCTTGTAGTCAGTGACTTTTTAGTGTACAAATGTTTGTATCACTTTTTGACCAGCCAAAGATTGTGATACAATATCACACAATTGTGATCCCCTGAACAAGGAGTACACCGTTATTTGTGGATGATATTTTAATAAGTGGCTATTTTATAAATGTTTTTCATAAACGTTATTTTATAGTGCATAAGTTAGTACCTCATTTCCACACTACCTCAGTATCACAGTACACCAGTAGCTTAGTAACCTGATACACACCCCAGTACCCCAGTATTATACCCCTTCACCCAACAACACCCCAGTACCCCAGTATTCCAACAACACCCCAGTATTTCAACAACACCCCAAGACCCCAGTATTCCAACAACACCCCAGTATTCAAACAACACCCCATTATTCCAACAACACCCCAGTATTCCAACAACACCCACGTATTCCAACAACACCCCAGTATTCCAACAACACCCCAGTATTCCAACAACACCCCAGTATTTCAACAACACCCCAGTAGCTCAGTATTCCAACAACACCCCAGTACCCCAGTATTCCAACAACACCCCAGTATTTCAACAACACCCCAAGACCCCAGTATTCCAACAACACCCCAGTACCCCAGTATTCCAACAACACCCCAGTATTCCAACAACACCCCAGTACCCCAGTATTCCAACAACACCCCAGTATTTCAACAACACCCCAAGACCCCAGTATTCCAACAACACCCCAGTACCCCAGTATTCCAACAACACCCCAGTATTCCAACAACACCCCGGTATTCCAACAACATCCCAGTATTCCAACAACACCCCAGTATTCCAACAACACCCCAGTACCTCAGTATTCCAACAACACCCCAGTACCTCAGTATTCCAACAACACCCCAGTATTCCAACAACACCCCAGTAGCTCAGTATTCCAACAACACCCCAGTACCCCAGTATTCCAACAACACCCCAGTATTCCAACAACACCCCCGTATTCCAACAACACCCCAGTATTCCAACAACACCCCAGTATTCCAACAACACCCCCGTATTCCACCCCTTATTTCCAACAGACCAACGACACAGGCGACATCGTGAGCTGGTAGACGCCTACATGGGATCACATCGCTACACAACGTAAGTCACGTTTGAACCTTAGCACTGCTGGTCCCACGTATTACTGTACCACGCTAAAGTCAGCTGGGTAGAATCTCATCACGCCTAGGTGTAGCAGAGTGGACCTGATTTTGTTGTAAAAGTGCAGCACAAAGGAGCGGTGTGGTCAAGCGATAGGGCATGTATCATGACATGTAAATTGTGTTCATGGATAGATTAGCTAGTCAGTCTCTGACGAGAGTCTCAGTTTCTGTTCAGTTTTAATCAGTACCTGGCGTGTACTTTTATGATGGTGTAAGCTGCACGGTTGTATGGAGAGTAATTAACTCAGCTAAACTGGGTACCTGGCAGCAACAGGTAACATAATGACACAATTTTAACATAGACATAAAGAGACAGTACACAATGTGACATTAAAAGACACAATACACAGTATAAATATGTGACATAAAGAGACACAATAAAATGATATGACAATGTCACTTTCAGGCTACAGAGGGACGTTAAAGATATTCTATCTGAGTACCAATCACAGAACGGGATTCGCCACTGTGACGTGAACTATCCAACATCTTTCACACATCAGGTCAGATGTGTTGTTTAACCAGATAAAGTAGAGTTTAACTGTTGCTCTGATTAAAGCTATAATCTGATCACCATTTAGCTTAACCAGAGCTGTAAAACACCCCCACGACCCCATTCAGGGACCCATGGGAACCGTTATCTAGTCACGGACCCACCATGTCCCTGAATGTCAAGGTCAGCCCTAAATGAGCGTGACACGTGTTTCTACCCTTTAGGTCAGCGTGGTGGCGAGACGATCTTTGAAAAATCTCTGGAGGAATCCACAGACGACCCTCATTACGGTAAGCCAGCCTTTAGTTCGTGTCAGCTATATGTACAGACTCTACGGTAAGCCATAGGTTAGTTAGTGTCAGCTAAATGTACAGACTTCACAGTAATGCTGATTTGTTATTTACGCTTGTGCCTCATAATGACTTCTTTTTTCGATTACATCTCCAGGTAACTTTATCGATACTTTTTGCTGCAATGCTGGCCGTCTTGTACAAGAATCTACCCCAGACAACAGGACTGGCGGCATTTAAAGACAGGTAAGTCCTTGTTTGCTGACCACCTTCGTTGTTCACATAGCGCAAATCTCCGATTCTTAATAGGGGTCGGCGTGGTCACGGGGCTGAGGTCAAGCCCTCGGGCACACGTGGCTCGATAGCTGGGTAACTCTTCTAGGAGAGACAACTCCAAAATTAAAAAACTGCTACCTTGTAGTTTGTTCTTGGATGGACAAAGGCTATGGAAGTAAATCCAAAGTGAAAAGCCGGCTGAAATCTGAGTCAACCTATATTGCTCATAAAAGGTTGACATGCGATACTTAATTGTGTTGGATGATTGATATTCCGTCCAACATTACAATTTAAAAGAAGAAAATAATTCTTACTTCATATATAGGAAGAAACACAATTAATACCTTGTTTTTTTTTGTTCAAAGTATGCAGACCTTGTATAAAGGGGAATATCATGCTGCAGATATTGTTTAGATATTTGAGTACCCAGGTATAACACTATACACATTTTCCTGTACGCTTTTAAGTATTGGATGTGTATCTTTTAGCTTCATCAGCTGTACGGTGCCTTGATTAGGCTGAATATGAAAAGGTTACTATTTGCGCATTTTCTGTGTGCATTTTCTGTGTGCGCTATTTTCCTGCGTGCGCAATCGTTTATATTTTCTCTTACTTTGAGAACCAGCATGTACATGATCTATATTATGAAACAATAATTTGATTTTATATATAACAGTTTGTCTTTGTGATGTTTATAGTTACGTGATTTTTCTTCTTCTGTCATAGGTCGGGCGTCATTTTCTTCCTCATAATGAACCATCTGTTTTTTAATATGTCGTCGGTGGAACTCTTCATCAACGAGAGGAAGTTATTTCTGTAAGTGTTGCTATTTATAGAAAATAAGCTATTTCCGCCTAGACTTTTATAGATAGCTATGTAAGTTGCCAGCGCAATTGGTGATTGGATGCCAAGGGTACGGCTAACCGAAATGAAGAAAACATTTTATTTCTGCGTGTTTGCCCAGGCAGGAGACGGTCAGCGGCTACTACAGGGTGTCTGTATACTTCCTGGTCAAAATCTTCTTCGACATCCTGCCACTGAGGCTGGTCCCAGAGATACTCGTCTGTTGTATCGTGTACTTCAGTGTAGGTAGGTGCAGGGGGTGGGGGAGGGTGGGGTGGGGGAGGCTGGTCCCAGAGATACTCGTCTGTTGTATCGTGTACTTCAGTGTAGGTAGGTGCTGGGGGTGGGTGGGGTGGGGTGGTTGTGTTAGAGAGGGGCTGATGGTAGTGGTGTATGATGCGAGATGGTAGTAGTGGGAGTCGAAGGGTATTTGATGGTGAAGGGTGGATGATAGAGGTGGTGTGTTTTGGGTTCTGATAGTTGGTTGGTATTGGGGTAGTGGTATATGATGGAGGGAATTAGTAGGTATTATAAGTTTCGGTAAATGACTATGTTGTTTGGCGGTGGTGGTTTGGTAGCTATTGGGATGGTGTTGGTTAATAGTTAACACTGAGGAGATAGTGTTGATTGCTGAGAAGAAGAAAGTAAAGTCACAGTGTCGAACCCAACGGTCCATGGAGCAGATAAAGTAGGGTTCACCTGTTTTTGTGACCCCGGAATAGATAGCACTGTGCACATTCACCTTTTCTTTAACTAGACCGAGTCAGGTATTTAGACTTCCGGGTTAGCTCTACCATGTGACCACGACCTTTAATGTCGATATCTTGTGGAGGCGTGTATGTGGGGTGTTGGTGGGCGTTAGCGTTATGTTGTTCCATGTTAAGTCCCACTCGCCTTACCCTGTACCACCACCTCCAACTTACCCTGTACCACTGCATCACCACCTCCAACTTTGGACTCTTCCACCTGAGGTTTGAACCCGGGCCCCGAGCATTTCCTCAAGTTCTTCCTGTGTCTGCTGGAGACGCTCCTGGCTGCGGCGGGTCTGTGTTTCCTCATCAGCGCCACGGTGCGCGTGTTTGCCGTGGCTCAACTCACGCTGGCCTTCTGCTACGTCCTCATGATAGTAAGTACTCACTCTAGGTTTGGTTTTTTTTAAATGTAAGGTTGTACTCACTGTAGGTTTGGTTCTGTTAATGTAAGCTTGTACTCATGATAGTAAGTACTGACTCTAGGTTTGGTTTTTTTTAATGTAAGGTTGTATTCATGATAGTAAGTACTCACTCTAGGTCTGTTTTTTTTTAATGTAAGGTTGTATTCATGATATTAAGTACTCACTCTAGGTCTGGTTTTTTTTAATGTAAGGTTGTACTCATGATAGTAAGTACTTACTCTAGGTTTGATTCTGTTAATGTAAGGTTGTATTCATGATATTAAGTACTCACTCTAGGTCTGGTTTTTTTTAATGTAAGGTTGTATTCATGATAGTAAGTACTCACTCTAGGTTTGGTTATGTTGATATAAGCTTGTATTCATGATAGTAAGTACTCACTCTAGGTTTGGTTCTGTTAATGTAAGCTTGTACTCATGATAGTAAGTACTCACTCTAGGTTTGGTTCTGTTAATGTAAGCTTGTACTCATGATAGTAAGTACTCACTCTAAGTTTGGTTCTGTTAATGTAAGCTTGTACTCACTCTAGGTTTGGTTCTGTTAACGTAAGGCTGTTTTCATGATAGTAAGTACTCACTCTAGGTTTGGTTCTGTTAACGTAAGGCTGTTTTCATGATAGTAAGTACTCACTCTAGGTTTGGTTCTGTTAATGTAAGCTTGTAGATCTAGTAACTGCATGTTAGCACTATTTGCTACCACATACATAAATGGTGCCATAGTCTGGGGGACGATTGGATCACTAAGCCGTCGAGCCTGATGCTGCAGATATTGTATCATTCCCTTCTTTCAATATTTCAGCTACTGGGTGGGTTTCTAATTAACCCCGACTCAATTGACCCCTGGCTCAGCTGGGTACAGTATTTCAGCCTCTTCAAGTATGCTCAAAACGTGAGTGTTCTCTTGTGATTTATGAATATATTCGTTAGAACGAGTGCAGCAGCTGTTATATATATATATAGTTTGTTACTTGATATAAGGCTGCTGCAGGTATTGTACCACTCGTGTACCGTGTAACAATTCTTGACCATAGAAGCTATGGTTGGATGTGACTGAAAGGGTTCAAATGTATAACGGTTTGAAATGTGGTTAAGTTTTGGCCTCCACCCATAACGCCAAAATGACACCACCCATAACACCATTCATAACACCACCCTTAACACCACCCATAAAACCACCACAACACCATTCATAACACTACCCATAACAGTAACCATAACACCACCAATAACAGCAACCATAACACCACCCATAAAACCACCCTAACATCACCCACAAAACCACCACAACCCACACATAACACCACCTATAACACCACCATAACACCATCTAACATCTTCGTCTTGTGCCCGTCTCCAGGCTTTGTACATCAACGAGTTCCAGGACAGGATGTTCTGTACTAATTTGACTCTCTGGTAGGTTGTTGTTGTGGTGATGTGGTAGTGTGATGTTGTTGTGGTGATGTGGTAGTGTGATGTTGTTGTGGTGATGTGGTAGTGTGATGTTGTTGTGGTGACGTGGTAGTGTGATGATGTAGTGTTGATGTTATAGTGTCGATGTTATAGTGGTGATGTTGTAAGGGTGACGATGTAATGGTGATGTTGTAGTCGTGATGTTGTAATGGTGATGTTGCGGTGGTATTGTTCTAGTAGGAAGGTTGTATTGAGGATGTTGTAGTGGTGATTTTTAAATAGTAAATGTTGTAAGGCGATATAGTGCTGATTTGCTGGTGTATGGTATGTTGTTGTTGCTAGTTTTAGTCATGATGTGGTGATGGTATTGGTTAGAGTTACGTTATTGTTGGGTATGAGATGGCTTTGATGGCTACCATTACGTGAAGTTTGTGTCGGCGATTCTGATGAAGGTTGTTGTCGTGGTAATGAGTTGATGTTGGTGGTGGTGATATTTTTTGTTTGAATGGTGCTGTCAAAACCTAAAGTGATAATTTCTATCCGATATAGTCAAACCAAATCATTTACACCTATCCTGATAAAAACTATTTTTAACCTGAACTTTTTCAGTAAATCTGGCAATGAATATCTACAAGAACAGAACATAGCATACGAGCAGCCGGGTGACATGTGGTCCAACTATGCGGCCCTGTTCGTCTATGGGCTACTCCTTCATCTCTTGACATACGTACAGTTGCGGCGCTTGAAGAAATCCTGACTTGCCACATTGAACATTTCCCCGCCAAATTTAACACAACTGTGTTCCTATTTATTTTTATTCAGAGTACTCATTTGACCCCGCAGTATTGGATGTTTTGAAGCACATGAATACCATTTGATGTCTAATTTAGCTGTATCAGCTACTCCCATTTCATATCTTGGTATCAGGCGTCGTTCATATTTTATTTCACCCCGGTGAAACCAAGATTTGAATTCTACAAGAGACCAGCGTAATTTTTATACTGTTTAAACTGTACATGCAATAGCTCAATTCAAGTCTCATTTTACCCATGTGATTTGCATCAATACGAGAGGTGTGATTTATAAAAATCGATGAATTTAATGTGATTTTGTTCTATAGAGGAGTATGTCAATTTGATTCGTTTTTATTTACGTCGATCAACTTGTTAATTGTCATTAAAGTTTTGGCTGTTTAATAATCTTTTTGAATATTTATTTCACCTCTACCATACAGTACCATAACATTTTTAAAAAATCATGCGCATTTCGAATTGGAATAAAATTACGACCATTCATCATGTTTGTCATCAGTACCACTACCAACAGTGACTGTACCACTACCAACAGTGACTGTACCACTACCAACAGTGACTGTACCTCTACCAACAGTGACTGTACCACTACCAACAGTGACTGTACCACTACCAACAGTGACTGTACCACTACCAACAGTGACTGTACCACTACCAACATTACTGTACCACTACCAACAGTGACTGTACCACTACCAACAGTGACTGTACCACTACCAACATGACTGTACCACTACCAACAGTGACTGTGCCACTACCAACAGTGACTGTACCACTACCACAGTGACTGTACCACTACCAACAGTGACTGTACCACTACCAACACTACTGTACCACTATCAACATTACTGTACCACTACCAACAGTGACTGTACCACTACCAACAGTGACTACCACTACCAACACTACTGTACCACTATCAACATTATTGTACCACTACCAACAGTGACTGTACCACTACCAGTAGTGACTGTACCACTACCAGTAGTGACTGTACCACTACCAACACTACTGTACCACTACCAACAGTGATTGTACCACTACCAACATGACTGACTGTACCACTAGCAACAGTGACTGTACCACTACCAACAGTGACTGTACCACTACCAACAGTGACTGTACCACTACCAACAGTGACTGTACCACTACCAACAGTGACTGTACCACTACCAACAGTGACTACCACTACCAACAGTGGCTGTACCACTACCAACAGTGACTGTACCACTACCAGTAGTGACTGTACCACTACCAACAGTGACTGTACCACTACCAACAGTGACTGTACCACTACCAACAGTGACTGTACCACTACCAACAGTGACTGTACCACTACCAACACTACTGTACCACTACCAACATTACTGTACCACTACCAACAGTGACTGTACCACTACCAGTAGTGACTGTACCACTACCAGTAGTGACTGTACCACTACCAGTAGTGACTGTACCACTACCAACAGTGACTGTACCACTACCAACAGTGACTGTACCACTACCAGTAGTGACTGTACCACTACCAACAGTGACTGTACCACTACCAACATTACTGTACCACTACCAACAGTGACTGTACCACTACCAACATTACTGTACCACTATTAACAGTGACTGTACCACTACCAACAGTGAATGTACCACTACCAACAGTGACTGTACTAAACAGTGACTGTACCACTACCAACAGTGACTGTACCACTACCAACAGTGACTGTACCACTACCAACAGTGACTGTACTAAACAGTGACTGTACCACTACCACAGTGATTGTACCACTACCAACATTACTGTACCACTACCAACAGTGACTGTACCACTACCAACATTACTGTACCACTACCAACAGTGACTGTACCACTACCAACAGTGAATGTACCACTACCAACAGTGACTGTACTAAACAGTGACTGTACCACTACCAACAGTGACTGTACCACTACCAACAGTGACTGTACTAAACAGTGACTGTACCACTACCACAGTGATTGTACCACTACCAACAGTGACTGTGCCACTACCAACAATGATTCGTCACCGAACAGACTAATTAGTCTTCTGTCAACTGATTTCACTAGATTAAAATATTGATCAGAATTGAATTATGCCTGTCGCATATCTCAAACGTAAACCCCAGTATTGATAAAACACGACTACAGAGTTTTAAGATTTAAACGTGTAAACGATTTAAGCAATCAATCAATCAAAACGGACTTGGGTTATAGCGCTATATGTTTAATTCATTTGATACACCGATGTCATGAAACAAGTTTCACACATCCGATCATCCTTGATAGCTGGCTACCAACACTGAGCTCACCCACGTGACCGAGAAGTGACGTGTCTCGCGGGAAACTACGAGACCAGCTGAGCCAGGGCTCCGAGCAGAAGGACGGCCACACTCCCCACAACAAGATGGCTGGCCTTCACAGCCGACACACCTGTGGCGAGATATTGACACACATTAGCCACACACACCTGTACATTTCAACCAGTTCTTTGTCTTTTGAATACAAAACGACAAACGTGGTAATGAATTCATCGAATGGAACTTTAAAACGGAACAGCGTTTAACCGTAAAGCGATATTTTTATTACTTTGCTAATTAAGTATAACTTTTGTCATTTAATTAATTAGTGAAGGTAACAAGATACTATGGTAAAAGACACAGCTAACAAATTTTATAAAAAGTTTAAGTTAGACAACTAATGGACACCAACTAGAATAGTCTCGAAATTAGTTGAATAGGCCCGTTCAATCTTTTAAAATTTCATGTTCTTAAAAATTACGTATGGTTATAAAAACTTGATTGTTAGGTTTTTCACGGACTTAACTAAAGATCGGATGGTGTTTATTTCAGTAATTGAACACAATTTTTTAAATGTCCGACCCCCCCCCCCCCCCCTAAAAAAAACCCCAATTCGGTTGGTTTTATTTTGTCAATGAAACTGTACATAAACATGGCGTAACTAGGCCATGTGGTTTAAAAAAAATTATAAATTGATTAAAATATTTCATCGGAAAAGTTTTAGTAAGAGTTCAAAGAAAGTTGGGTTTACAGAATTTCTGTACTGCCAATCACTGCTTGTCTAACGCAAGAGAAACTTCAGTTTCTAGTTAAGGCATGGAGAAAAAAAATACAAATGTAGCCTTTTTTCAAGTTCTTTAAATCTGCAACTTTTATATAATTGATTCTTAAAATATTAGAATTTTAATATTTCAAGCTTAAGTTTTTAATTAAAAAAAAGATTTTGATCCATGTCAATATTAATGGTGGGAAGATTCCCATCTTGTTGGTGTCCATTAGTCTAGCTACAGTAATGAATTAATTAGGTAAAAACAACTAGCAACTTATTTTAATTAATCCACTTTATTTAATTAATGGTGGTAATTAAGATATTTTGTAGTAAAAACTAGCAACTTCAATCAACAGTTGTCATTTCATTAATTAGCGTGGTTTGTTACATTTAGATAAATACAACAAGCATCCAATATAAATAATTGGTCATGTGATTAATTAGTGGAGGTAATAAGACAATATGGTAAAAACAACTAGAATTTTAATTTAAAAGTTTTTCATTAAATTAATTAGTAAATTAATGAGATAATTCGGTAAAACAACAAGCTACGTTCTTACCGCTCTTGGCTGTCAAAGAAAAAAAAATCAAATTACAAATTAAAAAATTAGTGGTACGCTAAGAAAGATAATTCGAATCCAATTTTAAACTAATTTGAGTGCACATCAGACGCTATATTTAAAAGACACCCCCCCCCCCCCCCCCCACACACACTCGCGCTTCTTGAGATGACCAACGCCATGACTAGTAGAACTGATCCCTAACAAATGCCTGGATAGATCAACCCCCCCCCCCCCCCCCAACCCGCGTTGTTTCTTAAAGCTGATTAAAAAAAGAATAATGGCCGCCACCAAGTGACGTTTAATTAATTTGTATAAGCCTAAGGTTTTTTTTTCTTTCTTACATTCAGATGAAACCACCCCGCCCCACCATTTTGACATTCTCATGCACAAAGGTATACTCATGTATTTGGACCAACCAAAATAAAGCATCACATACATCGAACATACTTCAACATAAGGAAAAATTCAAACATAACATAAACAGTTACTGTTACACTTGGTACCCATTGTGTACAATATGGTACCCGTTTAGTACAATATGGTACCCGTTTATGTACAATATGGTACCCGTTCTATACAATATGGTACCCGTTATGTACAATATGGTACCCGTTATGTACGATATGGTACCCGTTATGTACGATATGGTACCCATTAATGTACAATATGGTACCCGTTATGTACAATATGGTACCCGTTATGTACGATATGGTACCCATTAATGTACAATATGGTACCCGTTATGTACAATATGGTACCCGTTATGTAACAATAATGTACCCGTTAATGTACAATAATGTACCCGTTATGTACAATATGGTACCCGTTATGTACAATATGGTACCCGTTATGTACAATATGGTACCCGTTATGTACGATATGGTACCCGTTATGTGACAATATGGTACCCGTTATGTACAATATGGTACCCGTTATGTACAATATGGTACCCGTTATGTAACAATATGGTACCCGTTATGTACAAAATGGTACCCGTTATGTAACAATATGGTACCCGTTATGTACAAAATGGTACCCGTTATGTACAATATGGTACCCGTTATGTACAATATGGTACCCGTTATGTACAATATGGTACCCGTTATGTACAATATGGTACCCGTTATGTAACAATAATGTACCCGTTAATGTACAATAATGTACCCGTTATATACAATATGGTACCCGTTTTGTACAATATGGTACCCGTTATGTACAATATGGTACCCGTTATGTACAAAATGGTACCCGTTATGTACAATATGGTACCCGTTATGTTACACGTGATACCCATTATGTTACTATGTATAATGATAGTTATCAATGCTTGTACTATACGAATCAACTGAAGTGAAAAAAATAATTGAAGGTCACTTACCAGTTGTTGCAGCTGAAAATACATTTGAAAAAAAAGCATGCTTTGTTAAAGTGTAAAGCCATTTTTATCTTTGTCAGAAATGTAAAAACTGGTTTATTTTGTTAAAGTATAAAAGCCATGTTACTTTGTTAAATTGTGAAGCCATGTTACTTTGTTAAATCGTAAAGCCATGTTACTTTGTTAAATTATAAAGCCATGTTACTTTGTTAAATCGTAAAGCCATGTTACTTTGTTAAATTGTAAACCAAATTTGTTTTTAGCAATTAGAAAAAAAAAACAACTTATGGGCAAGGCAATAGATTACGACAGGTGAAAGGTCACACAGTGAAAGGTCTTTCCGTAAGAGACCACATCATGAAAGGTCATGGTGTGAAGAGTCACTAAGTATAGGTCATACTATAAAAGATCGAATGTGAAAGGTCATACTGTTGAAAGGTCATAATGTCAAAGGTCCAGGTTGCCTGTGGTTGTGGGTTGTTGTAGAGAGTGCGTGTAGTTGTAGCGTGTAGGTTGATTTAGATAAATCACGGACACATTAACATAAACAAGTAAATTAAAAACAAACAATAGTTGCCTCTAAGAATGCCGGCAAGTTAATGAATCCAGCATCTTACAAGTATTTTATCGCACTGTATTATTAGGATGAGGGTTAGAACTTCTGTAAGGACCGGGGCATGACAGTACATGAAGAACTTCTGTAAGGACCGGGACATGACAGTACATGAAGAACTTATGTAAGGACCCGGGCATGACAGTACATGAAGAACTTCTGTAAGGACCGGGGCATGACAGTACATGAAGAACTTCTGTAAGGACCGGGACATGACAGTACATGAAGAACTTCTGTAAGGACCGGGGCATGACAGTACATGAAGAACTTCTGTAAGGACCGGGGCATGACAGTACATGAAGAACTTCTGTAAGGACCGGGGCATGACAGTACATGAAGGTTAGAACTTCTGTAAGGACCGGGGCATGACAGTACATGAAGGTTAGAACTTCTGTAAGGACCGGGGCATGACAGTACATGAAGGTTAGAACTTCTGTAAGGACCGGGGCATGACAGTACATGAAGAACTTCTGTAAGGACCGGGGCATGACAGTACATGAAGTTTAGAACTCCTGTAAGGACCGGGGCATGACAGTACATGAAGGTTAGAACTTCTGTAAGGACCGGGGCATGACAGTACATGAAGAACTTCTGTAAGGACCGGGGCATGACAGTACATGAAGAACTTCTGTAAGGACCGGGGCATGACAGTACATGAAGAACTTCTGTAAGGACCGGGGCATGACAGTACATGAAGAACTTCTGTAAGGACCGGGGCATGACAGTACATGAAGAACTTCTGTAAGGACCGGGGCATGACAGTACATGAAGAACTTCTGTAAGGAGCGGGGCATGACAGTACATGAAGAACTTCTGTAAGGACCGGGGCATGACAGTACATGAAGAACTTCTGTAAGGAGCGGGGCATGACAGTACATGAAGAACTTCTGTAAGGACCGGGGCATGACAGTACATGAAGAACTTCTGTAAGGACCGGGGCATGACAGTACATGAAGAACTTCTGTAAGGACCGGGGCATGACAGTACATGAAGGTTAGAACTTCTGTAAAGATCGGGGCATGACAGTACATGAAGAACTTCTGTAAGGACCGGGGCATGACAGTACATGAAGGTTAGAACTTCTGTAAGGACCGGGGCATGACAGTACATGAAGGTTAGAACTTCTGTAAGGACCGGGGCATGACAGTACATGAAGAACTTCTGTAAGGACCGGGGCATGACAGTACATGAAGGTTAGAACTTCTGTAAGGACCGGGGCATGACAGTACATGAAGAACTTCTGTAAGGACCGGGGCATGACAGTACATGAAGGTTAGAACTTCTGTAAAGATCGGGGCATGACAGTACATGAAGAACTTCTGTAAGGACCGGGGCATGACAGTACATGAAGAACTTCTGTAAGGACCGGGGCATGACAGTACATGAAGAACTTCTGTAAGGACCGGGGCATGACAGTACATGAAGGTTAGAACTTCTGTAAGGACCGGGGCATGACAGTACATGAAGAACTTCTGTAAGGACCGGGGCATGACAGTACATGAAGAACTTCTGTAAGGACCGGGGCATGACAGTACATGAAGGTTAGAACTTCTGTAAGGACCGGGGCATGACAGTACATGAAGAACTTCTGTAAGGACCGGGGCATGACAGTACACGAAGAACTTCTGTAAGGACCGGGGCATGACAGTACATGAAGAACTTCTGTAAGGACCGGGGCATGACAGTACATGAAGAACTTCTGTAAGGACCGGGGCATGAGAGTACATGAAGAACTTCTGTAAGGACCGGGGCATGACAGTACATGAAGGTTAGAACTTCTGTAAGGACCGGAGCATGACAGTACATGAAGGTTAGAACTTCTGTAAGGACCGGGGCATGACAGTACATGAAGAACTTCTGTAAGGACCGGGGCATGACAGTACATGAAGGTTAGAACTTCTGTAAAGATCGGGGCATGACAGTACATGAAGAACTTCTGTAAGGAGCGGGGCATGACAGTACATGAAGAACTTCTGTAAGGACCGGGGCATGACAGTACATGAAGGTTAGAACTTCTGTAAAGATCGGGGCATGACAGTACATGAAGAACTTCTGTAAGGAGCGGGGCATGACAGTACATGAAGAACTTCTGTAAGGACCGGGGCATGACAGTACATGAAGAACTTCTGTAAGGACCGGGGCATGACAGTACATGAAGGTTAGAACTTCTGTAAGGACCGGGGCATGACAGTACATGAAGGTTAGAACTTCTGTAAGGACCGGGGCATGACAGTACATGAAGAACTTCTGTAAGGAGCGGGGCATGACAGTACATGAAGAACTTCTGTAAGGACCGGGGCATGACAGTACATGAAGAACTTCTGTAAGGACCGGGGCATGACAGTACATGAAGGTTAGAACTTCTGTAAGGACCGGGGCATGACAGTACATGAAGGTTAGAACTTCTGTAAGGACTGGGGCATGACAGTACATGAAGGTTAGAACTTCTGTAAGGACCGGGGCATGACAGTACATGAACGTTAGAACTTCTATAAGGAGCGGGGCATGACAGTACATGAAGAACTTCTGTAAGGACCGGGGCATGACAGTACATGAAGAACTTCTGTAAGGACCGGGGCATGACAGTACATGAACGTTAGAACTTCTATAAGGAGCGGGGCATGACAGTACATGAAGAACTTCTGTAAGGACCGGGGCATGACAGTACATGAAGGTTAGAACTTCTGTAAGGACCGGGGCATGACAGTACATGAAGGTTAGAACTTCTGTAAGGACCGGGGCATGACAGTACATGAAGGTTAGAACTTCTGTAAGGACCGGGGCATGACAGTACATGAAGAACTTCCGTAAGGACCGGGGCATGACAGTACATGAAGGTTAGAACTTCTGTAAGGACCGGGGCATGACAGTACATGAAGGTTAGAACTTCTGTAAGGACCGGGGCATGACAGTACATGAAGAACTTCTGTAAGGACCGGGGCATGACAGTACATGAAGGTTAGAACTTCTGTAAGGACCGGGGCATGACAGTACATGAAGAACTTCTGTAAGGAGCGGGGCATGACAGTACACGAAGAACTTCTGTAAGGACCGGGGCATGACAGTACATGAAGGTTAGAACTTCTGTAAGGACCGGGGCATGACAGTACATGAAGAACTTCTGTAAGGACCGGGGCATGACAGTACATGAAGAACTTCTGTAAGGACCGGGGCATGACAGTACATGAAGAACTTCTGTAAGGACCGGGGCATGACAGTACATGAAGAACTTCTGTAAGGACCGGGGCATGACAGTACATGAAGAACTTCTGTAAGGATCGGGGCATGACAGTACATGAAGAACTTCTGTAAGGACCGGGGCATGACAGTACATGAAGGTTAGAACTTCTGTAAGGACCGGGGCATGACAGTACATGAAGAACTTCTGTAAGGACCGGGGCATGACAGTACATAAAGAACTTCTGTAAGGACCGGGGCATGACAGTACATGAAGAACTTCTGTAAGGACCGGGGCATGACAGTACATGAAGAACTTCTGTAAGGACCGGGGCATGACAGTACATGAAGAACTTCTGTAAGGACCTGGGCATGACAGTACATGAAGAACTTCTGTAAGGACCGGGGCATGACAGTACATGAAGAACTTCTGTAAGGACCGGGGCATGACAGTACATGAAGGTTAGAACTTCTGTAAGGACCGGGGCATGACAGTACATGAAGGTTAGAACTTCTGTAAGGACCGGGGCATGACAGTACATGAAGAACTTCTGTAAGGAGCGGGGCATGACAGTACATGAAGAACTTCTGTAAGGACCGGGGCATGACAGTACATGAAGAACTTCTGTAAGGAGCGGGGCATGACAGTACATGAAGAACTTCTGTAAGGACCGGGGCATGACAGTACATGAAGAACTTCTGTAAGGACCGGGGCATGACAGTACATGAAGAACTTCTGTAAGGACCGGGGCATGACAGTACATGAAGGCTAGAACTTCTGTAAGGACAGGGGCATGACAGTACATGAAGAACTTCTGTAAGGACCGGGGCATGACCGTACATGAACGTTAGAACTTCTATAAGGAGCGGGGCATGACAGTACATGAAGAACTTCTGTAAGGACCGGGGCATGACAGTACATGAACGTTAGAACTTCTGTAAGGACCGGGGCATGACAGTACATAAAGAACTTCTGTAAGGACCGGGGCATGACAGTACATGAAGAACTTCTGTAAGGACCGGGGCATGACAGTACATGAAGAACTTCTGTAAGGACCGGGGCATGACAGTACATGAAGAACTTCTGTAAGGACCGGGGCATGACAGTACATGAAGAACTTCTGTAAGGACCGGGGCATGACAGTACATGAAGAACTTCTGTAAGGACCGGGGCATGACAGTACATGAAGGCTAGAACTTCTGTAAGGACAGGGGCATGACAGTACATGAAGAACTTCTGTAAGGACCGGGGCATGACCGTACATGAACGTTAGAACTTCTATAAGGAGCGGGGCATGACAGTACATGAAGAACTTCTGTAAGGACCGGGGCATGACAGTACATGAACGTTAGAACTTCTGTAAGGACCGGGGCATGACAGTACATAAAGAACTTCTGTAAGGACCGGGGCATGACAGTACATGAAGAACTTCTGTAAGGACCGGGGCATGACAGTACATGAAGGTTAGAACTTCTGTAAGGACCGGGGCATGACAGTACATGAAGGTTAGAACTTCTGTAAGGACCGGGGCATGACAGTACATGAAGAACTTCTGTAAGGACCGGGGCATGACAGTACATGAAGAACTTCTGTAAGGACCGGGGCATGACAGTACATGAAGAACTTCTGTAAGGACCGGGGCATGACAGTACATGAAGAACTTCTGTAAGGACCGGGGCATGACAGTACATGAAGAACTTCTGTAAGGACCGGGGCATGACAGTACAAACATAGAATATTGGTCCAGCTTGATTCACACTGCCGGCATTCTAACAAGTCAACAACAATTCTTTTGGTCGCCATTATAGTAGATATATTAAGTTCACCATGCAATTAAAATGTTAGGTTCCCATTTTACCATGTAATTAAAATGTTAGGTACCCACTTTACCATTTAATTAAAATGTTAGGTACAACCATGTAGTTAAAATGTTAAGTACCCACTTTACCATGTAATTAAAATGTTAGGTACCCACTTTACCATGTAATTAAAATGTTAGGTACCCACTTTACCATGTAATTAAAATGTTAGGTACCCACGTTACCATGTAATTAAAATATTAGGTACCCATTTTACCATTTAATTAAAATATTAGGTACCCACTTTACCATGTAATTAAAATGTTAGGTACCCACTTTACCATGTAATTAAAATATTAGGTACCCATTTTACCATTTAATTAAAATATTAGGTATACACTTCGTCATTGAATAAAATCTAATAAAATACTGCAGTAGTAACTTTCTGAGTTCCAACTGCTTTAGATCGAACCATAGAGGAAGTGTAAGAACCATAGAGGAAGTGTAAGAACCATAGAGGAAGTGTAAGAACCATAGAGGAAGTGTAAGAACCATAGAGGAAGTGTAAGAACCATAGAGGAAGTGTAAGAACCATAATTTGATGCAGAAACTAAGTTTGGGTACCGATTTAAGCTGCGTCCAATGCTATTTTTAAACCCAAGGTTTACAACTCAAAACTAAACAGTATGCCACAGGCGTCATTCATGGCCAGTGCTATTTTTAAACCCAATGTTTACAACTCAAAACTAAACAGTATGCCACAGGCGTCATTCATGGCCAGTGCTATTTTTAAACCCAATGTTTACAACTCAAAACTAAACAGTATGCCACAGGCGTCATTCGTGGCCAGTGCTATTTTTAAGCCCAATGTTTACAACTCAAAACTAAACAGTATGCCACAGGCGTCATTCATGGCCAGTGCTATTTTTAAACCCAATGTTTACAACTCAAAACTAAACAGTATGCCACAGGAGTCATGCGTGGCCAGTGCTATTTTTAAACCCAATGTTTACAACTCAAAACTAAACAGTATGCCACAGGAGTCATGCGTGGCCAGTGCTATTTTTAAACCCAATGTTTACAACTCAAAACTAAACAGTATGCCACAGGCGTCATTCATGGCCAGTGCTATTTTTAAACCCAATGTTTACAACTCAAAACTAAACAGTATGCCACAGGCGTCATTCATGGCCAGTGCTATTTTTAAACCCAATGTTTACAACTCAAAACAAAACAGTATGCCACAGGCGTCATTCATGGCCAGTGCTATTTTTAAACCCAATGTTTACAACTCAACTCAAACTTTGAACAAATCATACCTGCCAGCGGGGCTGAAAGGAAAAAAAAAGGTGGGTTGGAACAAATCATTAACTTTATAAGGTAGTCTACTTTATGGAGGCCAGCCTAGAATCATTTAGGCATTTAATCATTAATAGTAAGTTAGTCTAAATTTTACATTAAATTAAATAGCCTAAAATCATTTTACGTTTTTTTTTTGTTTGCATGAAATAATTTAGAGCTACATAATTTGCCTAAAGTAATTTAGAATTGTTTAATTAGTATACCGTCATATAGAGTTATTTAATTAGCATACAAATAATTTTGAGTTATTTGATTAGACTAAAATAGAGTCCAGTTACTTATTTTAGATAAGACACTTTGGAGGGAAAAATCAAATTGTTAAAATTTGAGATTTGTTTGGAAAATTTTGAAAACAAATAGATGTTAGTTTTACCAGACCACAAATATGTTAATAACAAATGAATCATTAGAAGTAACTAAAAACTGAAAGGGAAAACAAATCAATTTGTGTAATGTCAATATTTAAACGAACATAAACGTCAGCTGACTCTATTGCAATTGAATTATGTAGGTTAAAACTGTACCCATGTCGTCTGTCTAGGTTAGAGTGAACGCCCTTGATTTGATTTTTCAGGGCGGATTTTTATCAAAGTGGGACATATCCGACATACCCTACCCCATTTAATTTCATGTGATATTTTCATTAAGGACACATTGACAGTCTAGTCTTGTATTGAAAATCTAAAAAATAAATATGTGAAAGTCATTTGTTTAAATTAGCAGCTTACCGAACTAAAAATACATATCGAAAACAAGATAAAAAAAAATTTAAAAAACAAAACACAATAAATAAATAAATAAATAAAATAAAATAAAATAAAATAAAATAAAATAAAATAAAATAAAATAAAATAAAATAAAATAAAATAAAATAAAATAAAATAAAATAAAATAAAATAAAATAAAATAAAATAAAATAAAATAAAATAAAATAAAATAAAATAAAATAAAATAAAATAAAATAAAATAAAATAAAATAAATAAATAAATAACAACCCAAATTTGACTGGTATTATAAAGTTATCTTACCTTTTGTTGGTGCAGCTTTAAGAAATATAACATTATAATATGTCAGCCTACTATAACATTAAACATGTTGGTAATTTGACCGACTAGGACAGTATAACATGTTAATTATAATACATATAACATTAAAACATGTCTGTTATTAGCCTGTTATAAAACTTGTTCTTAATTAGGCTAACTATAACATTATAACAAGTCAGTTATTAGCGTACTATAACATTATAACAAGTCAGTTATTAGCGTACTATAACATTTTAACAAGTAAATTATTAGCGTACTATAACATTATAACAAGTCAGTTATTAGCGTACTATAACATTTTAACAAGTAAATTATTAGCGTACTATAACATTATAACAAGTCAGTTATTAGCGTACTAAAACATTATAACAAGTCAGTTATTAGCGTACTAAAACATTATAACAAGTCAGTTATTAGCGTACTATAACATTATAACAAGTCAGTTATTAGCGTACTAAAACATTATAACAAGTCAGTTATTAGCGTACTAAAACATTATAACAAGTCAGTTATTAGCGTACTAAAACATTATAACAAGTCAGTTATTAGCGTACTAAAACATTATAATAAGTCAGTTATTAGCGTACTAAAACATTATAACAAGTCAGTTATTAGCGTACTATAACATTATAACAAGTCAGTTATTAGCGTACTATAACATTATAACAAGTCAGTTATTAGCGTACTATAACATTATAACAAGTCAGTTATTAGCGTACTATAACATTATAACAAGTCAGTTATTAGCTTACTATAACATTATAACAAGTCAGTTATTAGCTTACTATAACATTATAACAAGGCGAGGGAGACAAACACGTAACTAGATGGAGGGATAGACTGTGGTGCCTTAAAGACTCCCCCCCCAAAAAAAAGGTAATGGGACGATTGATTTATTGATTTAGTTGTGACAGTTATAGAGTTGTGACAGTTATTAAGTTGTGACATTTATTTAGTTGTGACAGTTATTTAGTTGTGACAGTTATTTAGTTGTGACAATTATTAAGTTGTGACAGTTGTGACAGTTATTAAGTTGTGACAGTTATTAAGTTGTGACAGTTATTAAGTTGTGACAGCTATTAAGTTGTGACAGTTATTTAATTGTGACAGTTATTTAGTTATGACAGTTATTAAGATGTGACAGTTATTAAGTTGTGACAGTTATTAAGTTGTGACAGTTATTAAGTTGTGACAGTTATTTAGTTGTGACCTTATTTAAGTTGTGACAGTTATTAAGTTTTGACAGTTATTAAGATGTGACAGTTATTAAGTTGTGACAGTTATTACGTTGTGACAGTTATTTAGTTGTGATAGTTATTTAGTTGTGACAGTTATTAAGTTGTGACAGTTATTAAGTTGTGACAATTATTAAGTTGTGCCAGTTATTTAGTTGTGACAGTTATTAAGTTGTGACAGTTATTACGCCTGAAATGACATCAACACAAGTCAGTTATCAGGCTGGTAACAAATAACGAGTTTATATTTTTTATTATAAAAGCCCCAAACCAACAATTAATTGTAGCATTAACCCTAGTAGCAATAGCGATACAAACTAACCATATGTAGCCCTAACACCCTAGTAGCAATAGCGATACAAACTAACCATATGTAGCTCTAACACCCTAGTAGCAATAGTGATACAAACTAACCATATGTAGCCCTAACCCTGCTACATAAACCATAATAACCCAAACCACACCAAAACTACCCTTGCAGCCCTATCCCTATTACTTCAACCCCAGTAACCTAACCCTAATATAGTGACCTTAGTAGCGCTAACTCTAATATAGTGACCCTAGTAACCCTAACCCTACTATAGTGACCTTCGTAGCCCTAAACGTACTATAGTGACCCTTGTAGCCATAAACCTAGTAGCCATAACCGTACTACGTCAGCGCTAGTAGCCATTACTACATCAGCGCTAGTAGCCATAACCGTGCTACATCAGCGCTAGTAGCCATAACCGTGCTACATCAGCGCTAGTAGCCATAACCGTGCTACATCAGCGCTAGTAGCCTTAACCGTACTACATCAGCACTAGTAGCCATAACCGTACTACATCAGCGCTAGTAGCCATTACTACATCAGCGCTAGTAGCCAATACTACATCAGCGCTAGTAGCCATAACCGTACTACATCAGCACTAGTAGCCATTACTACGTCAGCACTAGTAGCCATAACCGTACTACATCAGCGCTAGTAGCCATTACTACGTCAGCACTAGTAGCCATAACCGTACTACGTCAGCGCTAGTAGCCATAACCGTACTACATCAGCGCTAGTAGCCATAACCGTACTACATCAGCGCTAGTAGCCATAACCGTATTACATCAGCGCTAGTAGCCATAACCGTATTACATCAGCGCTAGTAGCCATAACCGTGCTACATCAGCGCTAGTAGCCATTACTACATCAGCGCTAGTAGCCATTACTACATCAGCGCTAGTAGCCATTACTACATCAGCGCTAGTAGCCATAACTACATCAGCGCTAGTAGCCATTACTACATCAGCGCTAGTAGCCAATACTACATCAGCGCTAGTAGCCATTAGTACATCAGCGCTAGTAGCCATTAGTACATCAGCGCTAGTAGCCATAACCGTGCTACATCAGCGCTAGTAGCCATAACCGTACTACATCAGCGCTAGTAGCCATAACCGTGCTACATCAGCACTAGTAGCCATAACCGTACTACATCAGCGCTAGTAGCCATAACCTTACTACATCAGCGCTAGTAGCCATAACCGTACTACATCAGCGCTAGTAGATCTAGCCATAACCGCACTACATCAGCACTAGTAGCCATAACCGTACTACATCAGCGCTAGTAGCCATAAACGTGCTACATCAGCGCTAGTAGCCATAACCGTACTACACCAGCGCTAGTAGCCATAACCGTACTACATCAGCGCTAGTAGCCATAACCGTACTACATCAGCTCTAGTAGATCTAGCCATAACCACACTACATCAGCACTAGTAGCCATTACTACATCAGCGCTAGTAGCCATAACCGTACTACATCAGCGCTAGTAGCCATAACCGTACTACATCAGCGCTAGTAGCCATAACCGTACTACATCAGCGCTAGTAGCCATAACCGTACTACATCAGCGCTAGTAGCCATAACCTTTCTACATCAGCGCTAGTAGCCATTACTACATCAGCGCTAGTAGCCATAACCGTAATACATCAGCGCTAGTAGCCATAACCGTGCTACATCAGCGCCAGTAGCCACATCCGTGCTACATCAGCGCTAGTAGCCATAACCGTGCTACATCAGCGCTAGTAGCCATAACCGTACTACATCAGCGCTAGTAGCCATAACCGTATTGCATCAGCGCTAGTAGCCATAACCGTACTACATCAGCGAAGGTAGCCATAACCGTATTACATCAGCGCTAGTAGCCATTACTACATCAGCGCTAGTAGCCATAACCGTGCTACATCAGCGCTAGTAGCCATAACCGTACTACATCAGCGCTAGTAGCCATAACCGTACTACATCAGCGCTAGTAGCCATTACTACATCAGCGCTAGTAGCCATAACCGTATTACATCAGCGCTAGTAGCCATAACCGTACTACATCAGCGCTAGTAGCCATAACCGTATTACATCAGCGCTAGTAGCCATTACTACATCAGCGCTAGTAGCCATAACCTTTCTACATCAGCGCTAGTAGCCATTACTACATCAGCGCTAGTAGCCATAACCGTAATACATCAGCGCTAGTAGCCATAACCGTGCTACATCAGCGCCAGTAGCCACATCCGTGCTACATCAGCGCTAGTAGCCATAACCGTGCTACATCAGCGCTAGTAGCCATAACCGTACTACATCAGCGCTAGTAGCCATAACCGTATTGCATCAGCGCTAGTAGCCATAACCGTACTACATCAGCGAAGGTAGCCATAACCGTATTACATCAGCGCTAGTAGCCATTACTACATCAGCGCTAGTAGCCATAACCGTGCTACATCAGCGCTAGTAGCCATAACCGTACTACATCAGCGCTAGTAGCCATAACCGTACTACATCAGCGCTAGTAGCCATTACTACATCAGCGCTAGTAGCCATAACCGTATTACATCAGCGCTAGTAGCCATAACCGTACTACATCAGCGCTAGTAGCCATAACCGTATTACATCAGCGCTAGTAGCCATTACTACATCAGCGCTAGTAGCCATAACCGTACTACATCAGCGCTAGTAGCCATAACCGTACTACATCAGCGCTAGTAGCCATAACCGTATTACATCAGCGCTAGTAGCCATTTCTACATCAGCGCTAGTAGCCATTACTAAATCAGCGCTAGTAGCCATTACTACATCAGCACTAGTAGCCATAACCGTACTACATCAGCGCTAGTAGCCATAACCGTGCTACATCAGCGCTAGTAGCCATAACCGTGCTACATCAGCGCTAGTAGCCATTACTACATCAGCGCTAGTAGCCATAACCGTGCTACATCAGCGCTAGTAGCCATAACCGTGCTACATCAGCGCTAATAGCCATAACCGTACTACATCAGCGCTAGTAGCCATAACCGTGCTACATCAGCGCTAGTAGCCATTACTACATCAGCGCTAGTAGCCATAACCGTGCTACATCAGCGCTAGTAGCCATAACCGTGCTACATCAGCGCTAGTAGCCATTACTACATCAGCGCTAGTAGCCATTACTACATCAGCGCTAGTAGCCATAACCGTACTACATCAGCGCTAGTAGCCATAACCGTGCTACATCAGCGCTAGTAGCCATAACCGTGCTACATCAGCGCTAGTAGCCATAACCGTGCTACATCAGCGCCAGTAGCCATAACCGTGCTACATCAGCGCTAGTAGCCATAACCGTGCTACATCAGCGCTAGTAGCCATAACCGTGCTACATCAGCGCTAGTAGCCATAACCGTACTACATCAGCGCTAGTAGCCATAACCGTATTACATCAGCGCTAGTAGCCATAACCGTACTACATCAGCGCTAGTAGCCATAACCGTATTACATCAGCGCTAGTAGCCATTACTACATCAGCGCTAGTAGCCATTACTACATCAGCGCTAGTAGCCATAACCGTACTACATCAGCGCTAGTAGCCATTACTACATCAGCGCTAGTAGCCATAACCGTACTACATCAGCACTAGTAGCCATAACCGTACTACGTCAGCACTAGTAGCCATAACCGTACTACATCAGCGCTAGTAGCCATAACCGTACTACATCAGCGCTAGTAGCCATAACCGTACTACATCAGCGCTAGTAGCCATTACTACATCAGCGCTAGTAGCCATAACCGTATTACATCAGCGCTAGTAGCCATAACCGTGCTACATCAGCGCTAGTAGCCATTACTACATCAGCGCTAGTAGCCATAACCGTATTACATCAGCGCTAGTAGCCATTTCTACATCAGCGCTAGTAGCCATTACTACATCAGCGCTAGTAGCCAATACTACATCAGCGCTAGTAGCCATAACCGTACTACATCAGCACTAGTAGCCATTACTACGTCAGCACTAGTAGCCATAACCGTACTACATCAGCGCTAGTAGCCATTACTACGTCAGCACTAGTAGCCATAACCGTACTACGTCAGCGCTAGTAGCCATAACCGTACTACATCAGCGCTAGTAGCCATAACCGTACTACATCAGCGCTAGTAGCCATAACCGTATTACATCAGCGCTAGTAGCCATAACCGTATTACATCAGCGCTAGTAGCCATAACCGTGCTACATCAGCGCTAGTAGCCATTACTACATCAGCGCTAGTAGCCATTACTACATCAGCGCTAGTAGCCATTACTACATCAGCGCTAATAGCCATAACTACATCAGCGCTAGTAGCCATTACTACATCAGCGCTAGTAGCCAATACTACATCAGCGCTAGTAGCCATTAGTACATCAGCGCTAGTAGCCATTAGTACATCAGCGCTAGTAGCCATAACCGTGCTACATTAGCGCTAGTAGCCATAACCGTACTACATCAGCGCTAGTAGCCATAACCGTGCTACATCAGCACTAGTAGCCATAACCGTACTACATCAGCGCTAGTAGCCATAACCTTACTACATCAGCGCTAGTAGCCATAACCGTACTACATCAGCGCTAGTAGATCTAGCCATAACCGCACTACATCAGCACTAGTAGCCATAACCGTACTACATCAGCGCTAGTAGCCATAAACGTGCTACATCAGCGCTAGTAGCCATAACCGTACTACACCAGCGCTAGTAGCCATAACCGTACTACATCAGCGCTAGTAGCCATAACCGTACTACATCAGCTCTAGTAGATCTAGCCATAACCGCACTACATCAGCACTAGTAGCCATTACTACATCAGCGCTAGTAGCCATAACCGTACTACATCAGCGCTAGTAGCCATAACCGTACTACATCAGCGCTAGTAGCCATAACCGTACTACATCAGCGCTAGTAGCCATAACCGTACTACATCAGCGCTAGTAGCCATAACCTTTCTACATCAGCGCTAGTAGCCATTACTACATCAGCGCTAGTAGCCATAACCGTAATACATCAGCGCTAGTAGCCATAACCGTGCTACATCAGCGCCAGTAGCCACATCCGTGCTACATCAGCGCTAGTAGCCATAACCGTGCTACATCAGCGCTAGTAGCCATAACCGTACTACATCAGCGCTAGTAGCCATAACCGTATTGCATCAGCGCTAGTAGCCATAACCGTACTACATCAGCGAAGGTAGCCATAACCGTATTACATCAGCGCTAGTAGCCATTACTACATCAGCGCTAGTAGCCATAACCGTGCTACATCAGCGCTAGTAGCCATAGCCGTACTACATCAGCGCTAGTAGCCATAACCGTACTACATCAGCGCTAGTAGCCATTACTACATCAGCGCTAGTAGCCATAACCGTATTACATCAGCGCTAGTAGCCATAACCGTACTACATCAGCGCTAGTAGCCATAACCGTATTACATCAGCGCTAGTAGCCATTACTACATCGGCGCTAGTAGCCATAACCTTTCTACATCAGCGCTAGTAGCCATTACTACATCAGCGCTAGTAGCCATAACCGTAATACATCAGCGCTAGTAGCCATAACCGTGCTACATCAGCGCCAGTAGCCACATCCGTGCTACATCAGCGCTAGTAGCCATAACCGTGCTACATCAGCGCTAGTAGCCATAACCGTACTACATCAGCGCTAGTAGCCATAACCGTATTGCATCAGCGCTAGTAGCCATAACCGTACTACATCAGCGAAGGTAGCCATAACCGTATTACATCAGCGCTAGTAGCCATTACTACATCAGCGCTAGTAGCCATAACCGTGCTACATCAGCGCTAGTAGCCATAACCGTACTACATCAGCGCTAGTAGCCATAACCGTACTACATCAGCGCTAGTAGCCATTACTACATCAGCGCTAGTAGCCATAACCGTATTACATCAGCGCTAGTAGCCATAACCGTACTACATCAGCGCTAGTAGCCATAACCGTATTACATCAGCGCTAGTAGCCATTACTACATCAGCGCTAGTAGCCATAACCGTACTACATCAGCGCTAGTAGCCATAACCGTACTACATCAGCGCTAGTAGCCATAACCGTATTACATCAGCGCTAGTAGCCATTTCTACATCAGCGCTAGTAGCCATTACTAAATCAGCGCTAGTAGCCATTACTACATCAGCACTAGTAGCCATAACCGTACTACATTAGCGCTAGTAGCCATAACCGTGCTACATCAGCGCTAGTAGCCATAACCGTGCTACATCAGCGCTAGTAGCCATTACTACATCAGCGCTAGTAGCCATAACCGTGCTACATCAGCGCTAGTAGCCATAACCGTGCTACATCAGCGCTAGTAGCCATAACCGTACTACATCAGCGCTAGTAGCCATAACCGTGCTACATCAGCGCTAGTAGCCATTACTACATCAGCGCTAGTAGCCATAACCGTGCTACATCAGCGCTAGTAGCCATAACCGTGCTACATCAGCGCTAGTAGCCATTACTACATCAGCGCTAGTAGCCATTACTACATCAGCGCTAGTAGCCATAACCGTACTACATCAGCGCTAGTAGCCATAACCGTGCTACATCAGCGCTAGTAGCCATAACCGTGCTACATCAGCGCTAGTAGCCATAACCGTGCTACATCAGCGCCAGTAGCCATAACCGTGCTACATCAGCGCTAGTAGCCATAACCGTGCTACATCAGCGCTAGTAGCCATAACCGTGCTACATCAGCGCTAGTAGCCATAACCGTACTACATCAGCGCTAGTAGCCATAACCGTATTACATCAGCGCTAGTAGCCATAACCGTACTACATCAGCGCTAGTAGCCATAACCGTATTACATCAGCGCTAGTAGCCATTACTACATCAGCGCTAGTAGCCATTACTACATCAGCGCTAGTAGCCATAACCGTACTACATCAGCGCTAGTAGCCATTACTACATCAGCGCTAGTAGCCATAACCGTACTACATCAGCACTAGTAGCCATAACCGTACTACGTCAGCACTAGTAGCCATAACCGTACTACATCAGCGCTAGTAGCCATAACCGTACTACATCAGCGCTAGTAGCCATAACCGTACTACATCAGCGCTAGTAGCCATTACTACATCAGCGCTAGTAGCCATAACTGTATTACATCAGCGCTAGTAGCCATAACCGTGCTACATCAGCGCTAGTAGCCATTACTACATCAGCGCTAGTAGCCATAACCGTACTACATCAGCACTAGTAGCCATAACAAGTTATTAAAAAGTCTAGCACTAGATTGTTAGACTAGAGCTAGTATAAGGAGCAGAGCTAGAGTCAGCGCTAGGATAGGACCATAATTAATTTTAAAAAAATAAACATATTTTTGAAGTGTGTAACTGGTGGATACATGTTTAATGGGAAGACGTGGTCGGAAGATAGAGGGTACGACTTCTAGTCTGAAAGTCTCAAGTTCAGATCCCGTGTTCTATTGTAGGACGCCACTGAGTCCACTCAGCCCTGATGGGTACCTGACTCAGGGAAAGTAAAGGCGGCTGGGTATGGTGCTATTCACCCGATGTCACTTAAACAGGTGAACTACTTGACCTTCCCAATAGGTTGGATAGGGTAACTTTATAAGGTGTTTCGGATCTAGATCTAGATCTACATCTAAAAATACACAGTTTAATTAATGATTCAATTTTAATTGGACTTACCTTCAACGGGGGGTGGATCCGGCGTTGGGTCATGCCCGCCCCCTCCAGGAGCACCACCTGCTCCAGCTCCATCACCACCAGCAGCAGGCGGTGGGTTGTCTGGATTACCGCCACCGCCACCGCCACCGCCACCGCCTTCGGCTGGTGCCTCCCCTGAAGAACTGTTTGACGGTGGCTCCTCCTGGGCCACAACGGCAACCATCAGAGCCGCCAGACAACAACACCACAACATCGGACTCATCTCACCGTTTCGATTCCAAAGATAGAATTACCCTTTGGAAAAACACTGAGGTTCAAAACCTAAAATTTGAGTTTAAAAAAAACTGTGTGGCATCTCCGTAGTTATGCAGGGAGCGATGACGTCGACACGCCTAACTACAAGCTGCACTGGCGCGCACCGAATAAGCGCATCGGGTAATTGCAAATGAAGCACTTTTTTAAAGCTGGCTAAAATGATGAGTAACATCGATATGAACAACTCAACTTTCAAAACAAGGAATGCCTTATTAAAAAAAAAATTAAATAAATTATTTACTTTGAATATTTAATAATACACCACTACTTAATTAACTAAAAAGAGAAGCGAGGGTCAGAATTTTATTAAAAAATTACATTGGTTTTATTTTCTATTTTATTGTAATTTGATCTAAATGACAACTATCTGCCCGTTCTATTGCAAGAAACCAAACTGCCTTGCCCACACTACATCATCCATAGTAGCCCTAACCAGTGTTTCTTCCAGCCTTTTTTCCGAGGGGGCACTTGATATTTTCGGGGGAGGGGGGGGGGGGGGGAAGGGGTGGGCGGACACTAGTAAAAGTTTATGTTTACTATATAAAATCCATCTCGTTCGGGACGGGGGTGGTGGGTGGGTGGGTGGTAGACTTCCTTGATGCCTGGAAGAAACTCTGGCCCTAACCCTACTGTGTCAACTTCTTAGTCCTGATCCTTTTATTATTAAATTTCATCATTGTCTTTTTCTTTCGAACACTAAACACTCGAATCAGATGAAGTAGAGTTCATCTGTTTAATAACCTCGCCGTACAAGAGGAAATTGTGGTCTGCATTATGCCCCTGGGATCCGAACCAGTGTTTCTTCCAGACTTTTTTCATGTGGTGAGTGAATTGTTGGCTACATCTTTTGGTGAGTGAACTGTTGGCTACATCTGGTGAATGAATTGTTGGCTACATCTTTTGGTGAGTGAATTGTTGGCTACATCTTTTGGTGAGTGAATTGTTGGCTACATCTTTTGGTGAGTGAATTGTTGGCTACATCTTCTGGTGAGTGAATTGTTGGCTCATCCAGTGAGTAACTTGGCTACATCTTTTGGTGAGTGAACTGTTGGCTACATCTTCTGGTGAGTGAATTGTTGGCTCATCCAGTGAGTGAACTGTTGGCTACATCATTTGATCGGTAAAGCTTTTGATCAGTGCACACACTAGATTTTATTAATACTTATGTGCTAGTTTGTTTAACAATGTTAATCTTTCAGCACGAAAAGCACCAAAAATATAAAATATTTTGTAAGAAAAAACGGCTTTGATTGTAGATAATCTCATTTATTATTCAATGAAGTCTGAAACATATATTGGTTACAAGAAAAGGTTCTATCACTAAATGACATTAGCACCATACTCAGTCAGTTTCAGAGAGTAATCAAACAACCAGTCTAGATAAAAAAAAAATTATTACAAGACCCTGAATCATGGTCAAGTTATTTTCAAATGGGCATGGACTTGTAACTATGGTTTTCCTATTTCAGCTTGACTTCGTTTCACAATGTTTTTTATAAACAGCAAAATCATTTAAATTTTTTAAAATCAGATAAAAAATGAATACAAGCCAAATTCAGAGTTCTTTTCAACATATTTGTAAACTTTGGATGGTGGTGTGTTTGAAAACTCTACAGTAAATAAAATACAGTAGCTATAATGTTGGCTAAGATATGCATGGAAAGTTCATGTACATGTCCTTGGAAAAGTTGTCTCAGCAAACTAATGCCTGGCTGGGCTTCAGGGCATTCTCATAGGTTCTAGGACTAACCCTGTGGTTTCTCTTCCTTGACGAAAGGTGAAGCGAAAGAAGTGTTGTCAGAAAAGAATCAGAATCCAAACCCTGAGAAGCAAGTAGTATACAACAGCAAGCGTTTGTGTATATATAGTGTGCTGGATTACATGTCAACTTAAAAGACAAAACAAACGAGAATTTGGTTTAAAAACTTTTTGGAGTGTAGATTTAAAGATGATACTAGGACTGAACCAAACATTTCTCAAAGGAATTAAACTGATTGTTTGAAATAAAACAAATAAATAAAGGCGCAGTTCACAGCAGTGCATATATATGTAAATAAATGGTATAAAAAGATTAACGCAGTTGAGTTTCTAAAAAAAAAACAAACTAGCCCAGTATATATAAGTATGCTTTAAAAACAACACATTTTGGAATGTGAGAAAAATATTTTGTTGTTCACATGTTTGTTCATGTCATAAATTAAACATGAGCTTTTACAGTAAAAAGTTGTGTAAAAAACAGCTAATGGAAATAAACATTTCTTCTAGAAAAAATCTATCTCTGATACAAGCAAAGTGTGTATCAATCATAAAAAAAAATATAGAAAGATTCAGGAGAGAGTGAAATCAGCCATAATTTGATCAACCATTCACAGCATATTATACTGGTGATTAAGTATGTACAAAGAATGAAATTTTTTAGAGGTGATTATAAATAAACTTCATTTAAAAAAAATTCTCACATAGATATTATTTGTGAGCCTAATCATCATCACAGCCAAATAATAGATGGTCAGCATCTTATTTGATCAGGATACCATACAGTACTAAAAAGTTTTGAGACAATTATTTTACTTTTGAAAATAGTTTCTTCCCACTTGAAACCAAAAAAAAAAAATAACAGCAACCAAGAAAAGTTATCAGATCTAGGATAAACAAAATGTGAAAGCAACAAATATTGGAGTGGCTGCCCTTGTCATGAACCAGAAGTAGCAGGATCCTTGAGTGGCTGCCTGTGTATTTACTGGGTGTAGTTGGTCTTCTGAATGTGGCTTGCTTTCTCCTGGAAGAAAATATGGCACAGTTGTAGGATGAAAGCTACTTGAAAAATGATAATATAAAAAAAAACAAAAACTACAATAAACTAATGCAATAATTTAAACAAACAACTCTATGATTACAAGGCTATCACAGTAAGATTAGATATGCTTTATTTAAAGCATGCACAAAAATACAATCTATTCCACTGACTTTAGACAAATTAAATTTTCTTCCTTGTCCCCTCGTTGAATAAAAAAGTCTAACGGGATTGTTATTCCTTAAAGTGAAGCTAGTTTGTCATTATTGCAACCTTCATCCTTCTCATTAATCAATGGTGTAATGCCACTTACCTCCCCTTTCTCATTAATCAATGGTGTAATGCCACTTACCCCCACCCTTCTCATTACTCAATGGTGTAATGCCACATACCTCCCCTTTCTCATTAATCAATTGTGTAATGCCACTTACCCCCACCCTTCTCATTACTCAATGGTGTAATACCACTTACCCCCTTCTCTCATTAATCAATGGTGTAATGCCACTTACCTCCCCTTTCTCATTAATCAATTGTGTAATGCCACTTACCCCCACCCTTCTCATTACTCAATGGTGTAATACCACTTACCCCCTTCTCTCATTAATCAATGGTGTAATGTCACTTACCTCCCCTTTCTCATTAATTAATGTTGTAACAACTTCTGCTCCAGCACCCCATGTATCAGCATCCCGGAAAACTAGGTCATTAGGTCCCGCTTGAGTGGCCAAAGATCTGGCAAAGATCTGTTGAGAGAATATTTCAAAGATGACATAAGATTCATATTCAGATATAGGTACATACAGATGTGAGATTTCAGCTAACACTGTAAATATTATTGACACATCTAGTTGTAGCAGGGGAAAGATTAAGAACAGATACAAATATTTGATCACCATCACAACTTACCATTAACACTAAGGAACTTATTTAAAATTGTGGAATAATTTTTATGTTTGCTTATCACAATTCTGTTGGGAAGGGTGGAGGTTTGGGTTGAGCTAAATAGTTTCTTCACTGGAGGTAATAATGACTACCACAATAGCAATATTTAATTCTTTAAAACCTTTAAGACTTTAACTATTGCAAGATATAAATTCTTTTAAACTTAAATTCACTTTATCGTCGTTGTCATACAAAAACAATCAGATTGTTTTAAACTCAATCTTACCTTAACATTTTTAGTCATACAAAAACAATCAGATTGTTTTAACTCAATCTTACCTTAACATTTTTAGCTGGCTTCAAGACAAAGTTCCTAAAAGTGTACTCATAAGGTTTGCTCAGGTTTTTGTCCACAATACGGCGCAGCTTCCATCCATCAAGATTGACTTCCTATACAACAAAATTCATCAAGTCATTAGATTAAAACCACAAAGACTAAATGAAAACATAACCAATTAAAAAAAAATTATCACTGGTAACATTGAGGTAATAGTGAAATATAAGTATCCATTGACTATAAAAAGTGGGTTTTATAGTTTATAAGGTATTAAATTTTTTTTTATCGCAATACTTTTTATTTTAGGGATGAAAGATGAATATAGTCTATAAATAAAATGACAACTATGACAAAGCACCCAGCTAAGATATGTCCTGAGATATCTGAAGCATGGTTTAAGAAAATAGTGATTGGCAAGCCTGAATTTCTTAAATATTGAAAATTTCAGAGCTAAAAAAATAATGAGTATAAACTATTATATAAGAATAAAATTGTGTACAATGACAAACAAAGATGTACTGACCTTACGAACACCACCAGATGGATTATTCTCCAGAAGAATAAACTTGCCCTCTGGGTTGGCCTCAGCAATGCTGACTGGACCATTGGCTGTCCTCTGGTAGGTTGTCTTGGCAGACACCTCTCCTCTCATCATCTTCATGCTCAGCTGGGAGTCACCTGAAACATTGCATTCACTGGTTTACAACTTCATAGCTTACTGTATTAGTTCTAGTGGAATTTTCTTACACATTTGTATAATGTAACACTTTTAAGTTACTAAAGATAATTAGAACTAAATAAGAAAATGTATTCAACAAGCAGCTCTGCAGATCAAGGCAAGAAATCTACCCCAACAAATATTAGCTTGTTTGTACAAAGGTCAGAAAAGACAGAGCAAAGTCAATGCATGCAGGGATTGGGTACAACATGCAGTGGTAGAAAATGAAAGATAATTTACATTAGCTCTGAATTTTTTAAAGTTTATTTTCTATAAATTACTGAGCTAAAATTATTTAGCTTTTCTTATTTATCTACTAAACAGCTATTTCTTTAATGTTATAACTTGCACTTAACAACATGTAATATATTTTATTTCTAGGCACATGTTAGAAAATTAGTAGATCTAGTAAAAATTGGGAAGAAAATTTCTTTAATCCTAAGGAATTTTAAAGAAAAATCAATTCTGAACAAGAAAATATATACATAAATGAGAAACAATGGAGAAGCATTAAATAAGCTAATTAAACAGATTAATTAAACATCTTTAAGATCAAACAATTTATGTTTAGCTCCAACTAACATTTATCTAAAATATACTATCTAGCCCTCAATTAAATTTTGAATAAAGAACATTTGCATTTAATATGTCAAAAAACTTAATAAAATTCTGGAATGAAGCTTAAAATTACTTTAACTCTAGGCTATAAAGATTGAAAAAATGTTTTAAAATATTTTTATCAGTAGACCAAATCATTTAGACATGTAAGTGCTAATTTAAATGACACATCAAGAAAAATACATGCACCAGGTATAGTTTATCTATTCTGATTATTGCTGCAACACATCAGGTTTCCATTGAAGCCTCAGAGTTGCTAAACAACATAACAGTTACAAAAGATACCACAACATGCATCACTATTTAACTAACTAATGTAAAGCAAGGAATACACAATATGTGAAAAATGTTTAAGTGGACATATATGCTTATTTTTAACATCAGAAAGAATAATTGAAAATGCAGCAGTGTTTTGCTACTGATGATAAAACAATGACAGTACAAGGAATCATAATGTGCAAATAAAAAATAATATTCTACACCAACAAAATGGAGACTATTTTTTTCATGCCAGTAAATGTATTAAATTTATCTTTCATTTAATATGGTTCATATCTTTGTTTTGTTAGATTTGCAAATATTTTTATTTTAAAGTTACACATTTTCCTTAACAAAAAGAAAAATAACATTTTCATAAAATATTTAAAGCACAGTTATAGCTATAGCTACAGCCGAGACATTTAAACAGTGTTGCAACAATAACATTTTCAATGGTGATCTGAAGAAATTTCTCTTAATAATAAAACAAAACAACAAAACAGCCATGCCACCTTACTGTTGAATAGGGATAGTTATCCTTACTGAAATCCCTGTTGACATTCACTGCAATGACTGCACTTGATGGTAGTAACCACAGCATTCCACACTGTTCAATTTAGTGAATTTCCTGCCTAGTGCAAGCGTTTAATACTAAACAGATTTTTCTTGACTTAGCTACAGCCTGTTCACAAGCAGACCTTAACGTTGCCAGGTCCCTAGTGTTAGCTACAACCTGCTCATGTGCTGGAGTCCTGTTGTTTCCAGCACCACAACAAGCAAGAAAACTTGATAGAACTTAGATTGACCAAAATATACATTTACAAACCAGTGGTTCCATTTGAAATGACTGATCTTCACCATTTGAAATTGTACAAGCCAGTGGATAAAAGGTGACCATTACACAGCTAAATAGATGTTTAAGAATTGCTGAATAGGGGAGGATAAAACAAAACTGAGAAGCACAAAACATTTTTATACACTCAATATTTTAAATAGGAAAACAATTTGAAATAAACCTTCAGTTGGAGATAAATTCTCAATGAAGCTGGAGTATAAATAAAAACAAATAAATGGACGGCCACACCAATTGAATTTTGGACAGAAAGACTTTAATTTGCATACATTCACAGTGTTGCGTACTGAAAGCAGTTGGCGTCACAAATTGATCTCAGGCTGGGTAAAAGCATGTTCCTTACACCCCGGCAAACAAGATATCAATTCCATGAACAATCTTCACTAGCTAGTTACAAGATCTGTGTCTACGCCACGGTGGGACACTAAGTTGTTAACAGCCATTGTTAACAATATATCTTTATATTACTACTATAATAAGACCTGTGAGGATTGTCTAAATGAAATACAAAACATCATTCATCTTAACCTCCTCCTCTATGTAGGAGGACAGCAGCCTCTGTTATTTTTGGTACATAATGTAATAAGCACTTTTCTTTTTAAAACGGCGTAGAAAATAACAATATAACTTCAACACTGAAGCTATACCAATGTTAGCCAAACACACATTGAGTTTTATTTTAGTTAACTCACTAGATAGTTAAAAATCTTTAAAAAAATTGTTCATGGAATTGTACCTCAAGAAAAACAAATGTAAATTTTAGAAATAATAATCTAAAAATGAAATCAAGAGACCAGCCATCACTGACTGTAGAAAATAGACTTCCCATTGTGTTTGCTTACAATTATATGCCCTTAGAAAACAGATGAAAGTAAGTTTTAATCTAATAATAAAAGAAAAATATTTTGGGAAATGGTTTTCATTTCCCTTTTAGGTCCAGTAGGAAACAATTTTTAAAAATGACTAAAGGTTTCTAAAGACAAGACACAATATCATCTGGATGTGATGATAAAAACCATTTAGACAGCAGTGATGGAAGGTCTTCTAATCTACAGCTATGTTACAAATACTTCCTCATGTACATCAGTGTACTGATGACACAAAGCATCAAGATCATCTATTACAAGTCTATGGCAATGAAGTAGCTCAAGGTAAATTCAGTGACCACAGTCCATTCTGATCAAGCAAATATGGCACTAGCTTGCTTTTCCCCCATTCAATATGTAGGAACAAATGTTTGTTCCTTTAGAACAGCTGTTAACATTTTACACGTGTAAGCTACCAAGTTCAGTCAAGAAACTGTAGTCAATGAATTTTCCAGATATTGAATAAATAAATGATTGATTCTTAAAAAGTGCTGTATTGGTTAGGTTTTAAACTAAAAGCAAAATAAAAAAATTAATTAAAAAATTCTGCTTAGATAAACCTGTGCCAGAAGAAAGGAATACAAGTGATGCAAGTTTTCATCTAGAATGTAAAGCTACAATAATCAATGGTCAACAAGTTTGTGTCACTTGAACTTATTTTAAAGAACAACATTGAACTGACTAGTATTGGCTAAAAAAATGATTTGATTGTAATATAAAACTGCCCAACACTAATTGGGTACAACATTGAGTGGACAATGTTTGAATGACAAAATCTGTTTAATACATGAGGAAACTGGACTCAATGCTTACTATAACATACATCATCTGCTAGAACTTTCTGATTATTAAGATTAAATGAGAAAAAAAAAGAAATTTATCTCAAAGACAAACTTTTATAGATCTGTTGACTGGCCTATATATGAAAAAATCAATGGGAGGCTTCCCTGTGACACTTTCCAGCTCAAAAAATTTACAATAGGTCAAAGTTACCATAATGTTTCCAACAGCAAAATTTATTTCAATGTTGAAAGAATGAACATGTATCACAACCATGATGTAAAGATACTTTTGACTTGGTTGGGAAATGTGTAGATAGATCAGCTAACTTAAATGCAATAATAACAAAATTCTGCTTGACACACTTCACACAATAAACAATGGATCAAATGATGAAACACCATCCAATCATTATGAAATAGGTCTAGATCTACTACATTTCTAACAAGAAATAAAAGCCATGTTTAACTAATATACTGGTCAAAAATATTTTGAACATTTGAAAGCATATTGACATTAAACTATGGGGTATGCCAGTGTTAAGGATTAAGCAATTTATATAGATTTAATAAAAGATGATTACAAATATGACACTACTAAAACCATTAATAAACAATAACATTTCTCTTGAGATTCACAAAATAGTTGATACAAGAAACAAAACTAAATTTGTTTGAAACAGAAAACTTAAAAATGAAGATTCTAAAAACATATTAATGATCACTCATCTTTTTACAATTAGTTAAAGCTAATACCACATTTATAGGACAAGCATGTAACACAACTTAGTTTTTGATGACTGAATTGTTAAGGAACTAAAATATTTCGAGGATTGTCTACTGGTTTAACTCCATTTAGATAACACAAGTTTTGTTACGTAACATAGTTGGCCTACGTGGAAAGAGGCAGATTTGATAAAAAAAAAACATACTGCCATTTGCCAATCATTTTGTAATCAAGATAATGAGTGTTAGTAGTGACAGTACTAGGTTCTACACCAAAATTGTTTGAAATTGTTTGCATTATCCCAATATGAGTTAAAAATTACTTGCCAACACCACAGATGTTAAACATGCTGAATTTATGATTTTAAAAAGTTTTTCAAATAAAATCCAACAAACAAAAATAATAATTGAAAAGGCAAAATTATAAAAGATCGCTAAAAAGGTTATAAGTAAAATATAAAAGATGCAACAAAGTGTTGAATAATGAGGATGTTCATACATGTGAATAAAGCACTCAAGAAAACAATTTAGTATTTAAATAAATGATTTATAATTGCTTCATGAGACTTATAGTATCACATTGAATTTAAAAACAAAATATCTGCTTTTGAAACATCCATGACATTTTTTTTATTGTATCAGCTGACAATATGAATGATAAATTATATAAAACTTATTTAATGAATATTACATTTTAAAATACTTAGCAAATATTTAAATATGTGATGCTTTACTTAAATGTTGCGCTTTTAAAAACAATAGATTTATATACTAATTACACATAATAATGGGTTACTTAATTATCTACTTTGCTACTTTAGAACAACATTTTTTTAAAAATTTGCAAGATTTCCATCTAATTTTAACCAAAGCAACCCAGAGCTAACTACCATTTTGAATCCAGTGAGAAACAGACCAGTGTATAGAAGAGCGGACAGCTTAGGTGCAGAACTTTTAAGCTCAAAGCAAAGCTGACAACATGTCAGTTTAAAAAATGTATATCTGAAGCAGAACTGTATATTTATGAGCTATATGAGAGTTTTCTTGGACAAGACAAAGTGCGAAGGAATTACTTTTTATCAGAGGCACTACTTGCTATATACGCACCACCAGATTCATAAGACTGTCCTTCAGTGACGTTTATAATGTCTGCCAGTCGAGCACTCCCGCTCTGTCTGACCCCTAGAGTTTGCTCCACAACTTGCCTCAGACCAACCCTGTAGGGGTGAAAGGTTAAAGTGCAAACTAAAGACAAAAAAAAGCAAAAAAAAAAAAAAAAAAATGCTGGATATCATGAGCTTTACAGTTGACAAGAGTGTTACATTTACAAATAAATGCAAATAAGAAGGCAAACAAAAGCTTAAGGAAACAGAATAAACAATAAACAAAGGACACATAAGAAACAACAGCAAGGCAGCTGATTAAGCTGAAGGAAGGGAGGGGAGTTTTAAGAAAAAAAAGGGTTGAAGAAAGGCAAATACAGTAATAAACATTTAAATTGTAAACAAAAACACTGAAAGTAAAATAAGTTTTAGGCCGAATATAAAAAAAAAAGGTAAAAATAAAAAAGTTAAGGGTAAAAAAAAAAGCAATAAAAACAGTTGCTAGGGCAAGCAGATTTGTTTTATACGGGAGTTTTTAAATCAAAAGGATTGTCTATTCTTTTCTGGTCCCAAATAAAAGGTTTTTCCGAGAGAAAATGAAAAAACGAAGCTTTGAAGTTCATTGCGATAACATACGTCCGTCAGTAACTTTATTAGAAAGGTTGTCCTCACTGCCAAATACATCACGGATAGAAGAATAAGAACTACACCTGGATGCAGTTCTTGACCTAAAGGGTTTGGTTAAATTGTTAAGATTTTTGTGCCATTTAAGTACAATTTTTAAAAGTTTATTAATAAAATAAATTTAAATACAAAAACAAGTTCAGAATTCTGACCATGCAAAAAGCTTTAGAAAATGTGCCAAAGAAATATAGAAAAAGTGCAATACTGATCCTATAGTTTATTACTGAAGGAATACTGCAGAAAAATGACCCGTTTATAAATAACATTGTGTAGCAGTTTTTTTTTTAGAAGTTCAAACCACTTTCAATGTTGAGTGAAAAATCCAAAATAGTTGAAAAACATTTTCAGACAAGTGTGATTTCTTCTACAATAAATATTATGTGTTACATAAAGTATGAGAAAAGTTGATTAAAGCAGTAAAAGATGACTTCCGTACAGTTTTGAATGAATGAAAAGATTCTACAAAGTTTGTTTTTGAACTTACAAATTGAAAGGGTTATAACTTGTATGAAAGATGTGGTAGATTAACAACTCACATATAACATAAACATTTAAAAATGAAGAGAAGTTAGCAGTTAGCTCTCATAAGGGAATAACAGTGTCAAAAATCTAACTGATAATTTAATAATTTAAGTGATGCTTAATCAATGACAAGTATCTTCATAAAGTGATACAATTTTGTATGTTCACAAAATAACATTGGTTAGTTATATTAATTAAAAATCTTGATACACACACATTTTTTTTTTACTTCATAAATTTTCAGCGAAATTTTTGTTGCAAGTGAAAGAAATATTTTAAGTAAAAGTTGATACAAAAATTCTGGTATGAAACGCCTGGTTAGAATCTGAAGAAATCGATGTGTGTTAAGTTCTACACTCTACTTTGATCAGTTTTGACGGGATTTATTTCTTCATTGCTTGACTGACCAGACATGCCAGGACTACTGAGTACCTGGGCTTTAGAGGACTCTCCAACTGTACTTCCACTTGTCTTCACAGAACTCTCTTCACTGTATGTGGCCACACTGTACGAATATGTTGTTTCCTCTTTGGTAACTTGAAGCTGAGATTCTTCTTTTAGTCCCAAGTTACCATTGACAACAAGTTGACCATGAGGTAGTTTCTTCTGGGCCGCCTCCAAAACTTCTTGCACCGTTTCCTTGGCTACTTCAGCAGCCATGTCATCTGGTTGTGCAGGCTGTGCTGTTGGGCTGGGTGAGGAACTGCTGGTCTGAATCAGGCCTGAGGACACTGAATGTACCACAGCCTCTGCACTCAAGGATGTTGTACTTACTTCTACTTGGCTTCGCTCTATAGTAAAAGAGCTATTAAAACTAGAATGTTGAACATTTTCGCTTTTTTTTCCATTCTCATGGCTGGAGTCAGCTGAATCTACTGGTTGATTAAAGTTATCCCCTGCCACATGACCACTGGATGGGGAACATTCTGGTTCTTTATCTTTATTCTCAAGTGTTTTGTCAGTCTTTAAGTCTAAGCTTATAGCATCTTGTGTAAGGGGTTTTTCTAAACCATGGTCCTCAAACTGATTATCAGAAACATTAATTTTAGAGTTTAAGCTAACAACCTGAGAAAACTGGATCTCTGTATCTAAGATATCCAGCTTCTCTTCCTCAGTGACTGCTCCCATTTCTTCATCATTGAGAACATCCTCATCTGTGTCTTCACCTCCTGCAGTCTTTTCCTGATCTGGCACAGGTATGGCCACTGAAAAGTCTATTTGGGTCTGCTCAGCAACACTTACCTCTGGGCTAGAGGAGGCTTCCTCTTTGGCAGTGATTGTTTTATCTTCAGCACGATCTCCAGGACTAGATGAAGCTTCCTCTTTGGCAGTGGTTGTTTTATCTTCAGCATGATCTGCTGGGCTGGATGAAACTTCCTCTTTTGTACTGATTTTATCTTCAGCATGATCTGCTGGGCTGGATGAAACTTCCTCTTTAGCACTGGTTGGTGTATCTTCAGCATGATCTGCTGGAAGAGATGAAACATCCTCTTTTGTACTGGTTTTATCCTCAGCATGACCTGCTGGACTAGATGAAGGTTCCTGTTTTGTACTGGTTATTTTATCTTCACCATAGTCTGTATTCTCATGAAAAGTTGAATCTCCCTCCATCTTAGTTTCTTTATCATCATTATCTACTACAGGTTCATATATCTGATCCTTGTTAGCCTTGTCTGTGTTAGTTTCACTCATGACAAGTACTAAATTAGTTTCTGTAGAAACTACTCCTTCAGACTTTTCATCCTGTTTTGAAGCTACTTTTTCAGCTCTTATTTCAGATACTTCATCCTGTGTGTCAACAGCATCAAAACTCAACAATGCCTCCTTCTCAACTAAATGACCAGTCTCACTTTTGTCTTCAATCTCTGTTTTACCTTGTCCAAGCTCACCAGTCACTACAGTATCACTATCTACTTCTGACTGTGTTACACTAGCCCCAGTTTCTACCTGATCATCATGTTGTGATTCTTCTTTCTCTTTGTTTTTTCCTGTCTCTACAAAGACCTCATCTTCTACCTCACTATCTTTCTTGTGAGAAGACTCAACATCTTCCAGCACTTCTTTAGCAATGGCCTCTGTACCAGCTTTACCTTTCACAATATCTTGAGTGGCAACCTCTTCCACAATTTCTTTACTGTCTTCTCCACCTCCAGGTGTTGTAGAGATACATTCCTCTTTAATTTCTTGACTAGCAGAATGCCCATTATTTATTTCTGGTTCACTATGTTTATCTTCATCATTACTACGTAAAGCAAAGCTGGCAACAACCGCATGTCTTTCAACTTTTTCCTCAATGACAATGTCCTCAACCACAGCCTCAGAATCTGGCGACAAAGAACTGGAACCAACAAGATGAACTACTCCAGTTTTTGCTCCACCAAGAGGACTCTGCAGTTGATCAGCATCAACAGAAGGCTGCACTTCATCAGAAACTTCCAATGCTTCTCCAGCCATTTGGACTTTTTTATCAGAACTTGAAACCGAGGTACTCGTATTGCCAGGAAAGATGGTATCATCTTCCTGAATAACTGCGGCTTCCTCTATGTTAGTACCACTACTATCAACAGTTACTTCTTGTTCAAATGTTTTCTGAGCACCAACCTCTGAATTCAAATAAATATTGCTCTGATCTTCACTAACACCTACATCTTGAGCAAGCTTACTGTCTGTTGTATCTTCTCTCTTGTCTACTTCGCTTTGTTCTTTACTCTGCTCACTCACATCTCCATCTAGGTTTTTCTCTTCAGTGTCTGAAGACATTTCCTCTTGTCGTACTATTTCAGCTAAGTTTGTTTCTGCACCTTTCTGATCTTCAAAATATTCTTTCTTTATTCCTTCATCCTCCTGAATGCCCACATCTTCTTTTGCATATCTTTCTTTTTCTATCTCAATTTTAGTACCTGCCTCCAAATCTAAATGTGTTTGGTTTGGAATGTCTACTTGATCTTTCACATCAACTTCTGTATTTTTTTGAAAACCTGTATCATCTGTATGATCAGACTTAGGTAAAGCTTGTATTGTGTCTGAAATAAAACTATCATCTTGTTTTAAATAAGAGCTTGACACAACACTCTCAGTGGGCTGATCCACTTCTAGTGGCTGATCCACCTCTTTCTCTAATGACTGATCCACCTCTTTCTCTAGTGGATGATCCACCTCTTTCTCTAATGACTGATCCACCTCTAATGACTGATCCAACTCTAATGGATGATCCACCTCTTTCTCTAATGGCTGATCCACCTCTTTCTCTAATGACTGATCCACCTCTAATGGCTGATCCACCTCTTTCTCTAATGGCTGATCCACTTCTAATGGCTGATCCACCTCTTTCTCTAATGGCTGATCCACCTCTTTCTCTAATGACTGATCCACCTCTTTCTCTAGTGGATGATCCACCTCTTTCTCTATTGGATGATCCACCTCTTTCTCTATTGGATGATCCACCTCTTTCTCTAGTGGATGATCCACCTCTTTCTCTAATGGCTGATCCACCTCTTTCTCTAGTGGATGATCCACCTCTTTCTCTAATGGCTGATCCACCTCTTTCTCTAATGACTGATCCACCTCTAATGGCTGATCCACCTCTTTCTCTAATGGCTGATCCACCTCTTTCTCTAATGGCTGATCCACCTCTTTCTCTAATGGAAGATCCACCTCTTTCTCTAATGACTGATCCACCTCTAATGGCTGATCCACCTCTTTCTCTAATGGCTGATCCACCTCTTTCTCTAATGGCTGATCCACCTCTTTCTCTAATGGATGATCCACCTCTTTCTCTAGTGGATGATCCACCTCTTTCTCTATTGGATGATCCACCTCTTTCTCTATTGGATGATCCACCTCTTTCTCTAGTGGATGATCCACCTCTTTCTCTAATGGCTGATCCACCTCTAATGGCTGATCCACCTCTTTCTCTAATGGAAGATCCACCTCTTTCTCTAATGACTGATCCACCTCTAATGGCTGATCCACCACTTTCTCTAATGGAAGATCCACCTCTTTCTCTAATGACTGATCCACCTCTAATGGCTGATCCACCTCTTTCTCTGATGGCTGATTCACCTCTTTCTCTAGTGGCTGATCCACCTCTTTCTCTAGTGGATGATCCACCTCTTTCTCTAGTGGATGATCCACCTCTTTCTCTAGTGGCTGATCCACCTCTTTCTCTAGTGGATGATCCACCTCTTTCTCTAGTGGATGATCCACATCTTTCTCTAGTGGATGATCCACCTCTTTCTCTAGTGGATGATCCACCTCTTCCTTTAATGGCTGATCCACCTCTAATGGCTGATCCACCCCTTCCTTTAATGGCTGATCCACCTCTTTCTCTAGTGGATGATCCACCCCTTCCTTTAATGGCTGATCCACCTCTTTCTCTAACGGCTGATCCACTTCTTTCTCTAATGACTGATCCAGCTTTTGCTCTAATGGCTGATCCTCTTCTACTGTTTCTTCATCTACCTGATCAACAGATTCCTTATGAAGTTGAACCTCTTCTACTGTTTCTTTATCTACCTGATCAAAAGATTCCTTATGAAGTTGATCCTCTTCCACTGTTTCTTCATCTACCTGATCAACAGATTCCTTATGAGGTTGATCCTCTTCTACTGTTTCCTCATCAACTATTCTCTCATTTGTATTAACCTCTTCTTGGTGTTTGCTTTCTGGGCATGTTTCTTTTAAAATAGAAACTTCTTTATCCATTGTTTCTTCAACAATTTCCTCATCAGCCACATTTTCATCTTTTTGTTCTGTTTTATCATCTTGCTGAACTTTGCCATCCGTTCCATCATCAGGTTGATCTTTGAGATCCGTTTCATCCTCTGGTTGATCTTTGTGATCTGTTCCATCATCTTGATCTTTTTGATCAATTACATCATCTTTTTGATCTATTTCTTCATCTCGATCTTTTTTATCCATTTCATTATATAGTTGATCTTTTTGATCTACTTCATCATCTAGCTGATCTTTTTGATCTATTCCATCATCTTGATCTTTTTGATCAATTTCATGATCTAGTTGATCTTTTTGATCTATTTCATCATCTGGTTGATCATTTTCATCAATTTCATGATCTAGTTGATCTTTTTGATCTATTTCATCATCTGGTTTATCTTTTTCATCAATTTCATGATCTGGTTGATCTTTTTTATCTACTTCATCATCTGGTTTATCTTTTTCATCAATTTCATGATCTGGTTGATCTTTTTGATCTACTTCATCATCTGGTTTATCTTTTTCATCAATTTCATGATCTAGTTGATCTTTTTGATCTATTTCATCAGCTAGTTGATCTTTTTGATCAATATGATCATCTGGTTGATCTTTCTGATCTATTTCATCATCTGGTTGATCTTTTTGATCTGTTTCATCATCTGCCTGGTCAATTAGTTCTGTGACCACATCTGGCCCATCTTTAATTTCCTCATTTTCATCTTCAACATCTGTTTGTAACTTGATTTCTATTTTACTCTCATGTATTTCTGGACATGATTCTTTCAAAGTTGATACTTTTTTATCCATCAGCTCCTCAACAACTGCCGCAGGTTCTTCTTGCTGTGTTTTCACAACCTTCTTACTCTCCACTTCTGCTGGTACTGTTTCCTTATCCTTGGTAGTGAGAACCTGGTTGATGCCAGGTGATTTCAGCACATCTGGCTCAGCTGGTTTACTTGGTGTTACTTTGGTACCAGAATCTTTACTTAAACTACTTTTGTCAGTGGTATCTCGAGGAGAGTCCCTCCATCTGGTGTTAGCATAGCTGTATTTAGAAGGAGCACTGTAGCCAGTGGAGTCAGATTTGACAGTATTGGTGGAGGAAGGAGAATAGGAGTGCCGGTAAGAGTTGCGGAGAGGGATCCTGTGTTAGGGTAAAGGGGACCACAGTTAAAAGCTTTTAGGGTGGGAGGTAATTTAAGATTATAAAAAATTGGTGCAATATAGAACGAAGAGTTAGGTGATGAATAAGATATTAATTGTGATTTTGGTGGACTCAGTGGTTGTTCATAGAAAAAGGAAATGGATTAATTAAGACAATGATATTAGTCATGTGTTAGAACCACTCCTGACATTTGTATAAGGTATTATTTTTTAAAATATTAAAAAATAAAGTCTTAAAAATGATTGAGTAAAAAAAGAATGAGGACAATGAAAAATGATCATAAATAAAATAAAAAAATAAAATTAATTAGCACATAGCACACAACTGAAAGAGAACAGTAAAAATATTATCCAAATGAAACACACAAAGAAAAAAAAATAGCAGTAGACCCTACTTTATAAGCATGTTTATGCTGAGGGCTCCATTACCTAACCAAGAAAATTAAAAGGTAAATTCCCAGTGGAATGGTTAAGGTTTACATTATTGCCTTTTTAAATTGTTTTTCTTATGTTTTCATTAGGTCTTCACAGCCAAACATTTTAGAGGTTGCAGCACTTATTCTTTGAAATTTCCAATTTAAGACAACATTTTTGTTGGTAAAAGATAATAGAAGTTTAACTTTGTTTAAAATTGCTACTTCCTATTGTAAGCATACAGGTATTGCCGATAAGCATTTCCATTCTACTAAGTATAGTCAGTTAAAAGCCTGAAGCTGTTCATTAAAATACTCAAGAGTGTAACAAATAAAATATTTAGTTTAGAAACAGAATTAAGGTATTAAAAGCTATGAATCAATGTGCATTTATGTTTACTTGAAAATTTACTAAGATTTTAAAAACTAATTACATTTATATGCATTTATCTTTAATTTGAATGATGAGTTTAATAAATGGAGATTTTTAAAACTAATTTCAGTAATTTATGAGTTTAGTATTCTGATGTTTCCTTTCGTAGAAAGTGTACCTTCAATAGCTTTTTAATGTACATTTTCCCCCAAATTATGTAGTTTCCCTGTTAGTCTAGCACCTTACACTTAGGAAAAGTTTGATGAGCCTTGGTTCATGTTTTTAATGGCTAAAACTGACTTACCTGGTTTCCTCACCCTCCAGCAGCTTCCTGTAGGCGGCAATCTCCAACTCCAGGGACAGCTTGGCATCCATCAGAGTCTGGAGCTCAACAAGCATGCCTTCCATCTCAGTTCTGAGCTGGTTCATCTCCTCCTTCAACGAGTTCACCTGGATGTCATGCTCATGCTCCTTCTGCTCCAGCTCTCGCAGCAGGTCTTGATACTGCTTCTCCAACTGGGCATTCTGGAGTAACAACAACATACATACATGTTTAATTGTAAAAGCATTGAAATAGAGTGTAATCAGGCTGGACTTTGGCCAAGAAGTAAAAGACTTGTACGCTGTTACTAAGCAGAGGTAGATTGTGACAATAAACTTACCCTGGCCTCAAGGTCAGCCAGTCTTGTACGTGAGTCACTCAGCTGTTTGTGAAGCTTTTTAGTTTCTTCACGAGCATGCGTGGCTTCCATGTTTTGCTTGGTGGCACCTGTACGGAACTCTTGTACCTGATTCAAGAATACAATAATTGATTCATATTAGAAACAGTGTAGCGCATGATTTTTAGAATATAAACATCTATGATACATGAAACATTTTAATATCTGATTTTAGAATAGAATTGTTTATTGATAAAAAAAAATGTAGTATTTGATACTTATAATATAACCGTAAATTGATAATGATTTTCAGAACATAACCATTTATTAATATCACAACCATAACCAATGCTGTTAAATATAAATATAATAGACACCAGTAACTATACTTTCCTTTTAACTGAACAGCGTAAATCATAAATAACTAAACCTCTACTTTGTGCACTAATTTATGAATAAAAACTTAATACATAAATCTGATTAGTGTTTAAGAAATTAACATTGGAGTGGTGAGTTCACCTAAATAATTGACCAGCTTTGACATGTTACCTTGAGGTTGTAGAAAGTTTCCATCTCTCCTCTAGTAGTGAGTTCACCTAAATAATTGACCAGCTTTGACATGTTACCTTGAGGTTGTAGAAAGTTTCCATCTCTCCTCTAGTAGTGAGTTCACCTAAATAATTGACCAGCTTTGACATGTTACCTTGAGGTTGTAGAAAGTTTCCATCTCTCCTCTAGTAGTGAGTTCACCTAAATAATTGACCAGCTTTGACATGTTACCTTGAGGTTGTAGAAAGTTTCCATCTCTCCTCTAGTAGTGAGTTCACCTAAATAATTGACCAGCTTTGACATGTTACCTTGAGGTTGTAGAAAGTTTCCATCTCTCCCCTGATTTGGTCCACTTTGAGGTCATATTCCTGCTGGATGTCTCTAATGGCCTGAGACAGCTCATTCTTCCAGAACTCTCTGTTCTCAGCAGTGGTGTCTCTGTAGGCGAGGGCTGAGAGTTCCTTCAACTCCTAGAGAAACATTCAATTTGTATCTATGTTAAACAACATGTGGCTGAGATTTTGGTACACTAACTACATCTAAAAACTAATAATAAAGTAATACATATACATAAACTCTTTAAGACTTGACTAATGCTCCGAACAACCAATAATAATATTATTTTCCCTATTCTAATATATATCTCATTCATAATTTTGGAAGAAAAACAGACATACTTTTATGTTATAGTTACTAAAAATACTAAGGAAAAAAAAATGTCAGCTGGAAAAAAAAATTCCCGTAATGAAAAATATTTGATTTTCTTTTTTTTTTGTTTATTATATAATGTTGACTGTGGATTCTACAAAAATCTGTTTTAAAGAACTATATTTTTCCATAAGCTAGTGGCTTAGGTTAGAGCCCTGCTCAAATGTTGTGAATAAAATGTTCAGACACTAAAAAAAACAAATACTTATAATAAAGACAGACAGCTAGCACTGGCTGACCTGTTCATGAACACTCTTTAAGAATTCAATCTCCTCCAACAGTGTCTGGTACTTGTTCTCTGCATCAAGTCTGGCAATTGTCTCATTGCTCAAGTCCTGGAAGAAAAGTGAAAGTGGTTAGAGTTCATCCGAGGGTAATACATCCATGGGGAGACAATGATTAAATGCTAAACACTACAGTAACAGTAACGTACCAGACTAACAGACTAAAATCAATATCTCTCACATCACATGCTACTAAAGGTAATAAAATTAGAGGAATGTACAAGTATGTGAGAAGATTATTATATATCTTATTATTATAAGAAGAAAATGTATAACTGTAAGGAAGGTAATTTAAAAATATATATATTTGACCTACCTAACATTGGAAGTTTTCAAAGATAAAATTTCTATCTTTATAACCGTTTGAATTAGATGTAAGTTCTAAAGATTTTTTTTTGTTTCAAGCTTCATACATCCAGCCCCCCCCACCCCCCCATATTAGTTATTTATATGTTAAATGTGGCAGTGGTAACCAAATAGGCCCTACACCTAATATATAATTATTACAGAGTAGATTATATAACCAAACATTTATAGAATAGATTCCAGAGCATAACAAAACATTGATTTATCATTTTTAACATGATTTAAGTTAGATCTAGAATCTATATCTAAGCCTTAGGTTAGGTATTTAACTCTAGTAAAAAGTAGTAGATCTGGTGGTAGAATCTAGAATAGGATCTAGATAATACTAGATTCAAGAAGACAGAAGATTTATCTAAATTCAAGATTCTTCTAGAATTTAAGCACCTTGCATATTTCCTGCATTGTGATTGAGAAGCACTCTAGTAAGTCTAGCTAGTTTAACAGAGTCTATCTTAGAAGTAGGTTAGATCTAGATCTCTAGACCTAGTCAAACAATAGATTACCGGGTAATCTATTGTTTAAGGTACATAAAACCAGCCGAGGCTAGTAATGTGCGAAAAAGTTACATCATTGTTAAGGCTTTAATAGTCATGATAGAAGTATATTCACATTTGATATATTTGTGTCAAATATTATAGATCTAGATAACTGAATAATAAACCAAAATCAATGGCTAAATATTACTAAATAATAGTAATTAATAATTATAACAATATATCAATATAGGCAAGAAATTAACTTTAAACAGCAGTGTTTGTGAGAAAGATTTGCTATATAGATCTAGAATCTAGATGTTCTATCGTTTTAGGTACGTAAAAATCGCCCGCGGCTAGTAATGTACAAAAAAGTTAACTCATTGTCAAGGCTTTAATGGAGGCGAGCGAGTTGACGAGATTCCGTCCCCAATGTTGTTGACATGGAATAAAAACGTGCTTTTTAAGATTTAGACCGTAAAAAAAAATAAAAAATAAAAACTTAAGCCTAAAATTAATTTAGAAATTTTATATTTTTAGAATAAATGCTATAACAGTTGCAAATCCAGAGAACTCGAAAATAATTTGTTGAGTTTAAGGCTACATTTCTATTTATTTTCATCAAGCCTAAGTTATAACCGGATGTTTCACTTTCGTAAGACAAATATTGATTGGCTGTACAGTTACTTAGTGATCGATAACTATTTGTTTACAAAACTTTGCAGATCAAGTTTTTAAATAACAATGCAAATTAAAAACCCCATGACCTAGTTTTCTATTTTTAGCTTACAATGTGTACAATAAAATTAATGACGGCCTATCCAATAGCAGGATGCCATTGTTTATGTCGCCATTACACGTGAAAACCAAATTGTTTTTGCTTTTTTTTTTAATTTTTATTTAGTTACCGAAAATATTATAAACATCAAATACATCCAATCTCTAATAAAGTCCGAAAAAAACCAGATAGACAGGATTTTATAACCATATTAATTGTAACTACGCCGTGCAAGATTTTTTTTTTAAATGAATTTATACACCTCTCAAATACCTTTGAGACTTTTCTCGCTCGTGTCCATTATAGAAGTATGATTGTGATATATTTGTGTCAAATGTTATAAATAAATGAATAATAAACTAAAGTCAATGGCTAAATATATCAATATAGTTACTATCGTATATAGGCAAGAAATTATCTTTAAACAGCAGTGTTTGCGAGCAGGATTTGCTATATAAAAAGCGGCCATCTGTTGTTTGAACTTGTTTTGTTAGGTGATCTCTAACTGTGATTCTAGTCTACTCACAATTCTTAGTTTTTCTAGCTCCTCTTGTAGTCTAGCGATAGTTGACTTGTCTCTCTGTCTTTCGGTATCCAAAGAATCGTTGGTTCTTCTTAGCATGCGAATTTCCCCTTCCAATTCAGAGACCTGCTGGTTTAACTTGTTTATAGTTTCGCGGTCTTGAGAACGCCATTTTTTGGCCTCGTCTAGTCTGCAAAGAAAGGGGACGTTTGTGATTTTATTACTTGACTTTGTTACAAAAAGTTATTCTTTCGTTTTATCAGGCATTGAAACAAACCTGAGTCTAGATTATAATGTTATATAGCTATAAAAATCAACTTAAGACTAAAAAAATGTGGTAAATATGTAAATTTTAAACTTACAATTAATTAACAATGCACACCCATACAATGCCAGATTTTTTACGTGACAGGGCGAAATTTGTCTTCTGCTGGCATTCACACTTCCGTGACAAATAAATTTATTAAAAAGCAAATGTTTATATCTGTTGGCAGCCTATCTAGTCTGTATACTACATCTAGATCTAGATTTATAGCTTATACGGAAAAGTAGAAATCAAGTGAATGGAAAATCCTTTGATCAAAACAGAATCTCCAGTTTATATAACTTATGCCTGAAAGAAACTCGGTACAAGTATGGGTGGAGGGGGGGGGGTGGCATTGAAGACATGACAATGGTGAAAAGGGGTGGGGGGGTGCAAACCGGCTACATTACATTTGTGTGATGTTATGAATGGGCCCTCCAATGTTTAAACCAGTCGCTAGCTGAAACAACTCCCAGTACAGGACGTAAAGACAACAAACATTTAGATTCTATTATTATTTCAAAATAAAAAAAAATAACAAACTTAGTTGGTTCTGCATTTTAATTTTAATGAAAAAAGGAATTACATTAGGAGGATGTTGTTGTTTTTTTAAGTTGCCATAGCAACCTAGGGCTAGACACCAGGAAAGATTGATCAAGAAATCAATACGAACAACATTTGATTTCAGACAATAGGGAATTTCACTTAGTGCTGTCGTGTGTCTACGACGGGCGTGTGCGTTGGGGGGGGGGGGGGGGGGACACACACAAATAATAGCATGTTTATTCAACATGTTTTGTAGGGTTACCCTTCTTTTATTTCATAAGCAAATGTATTCTTTACGGTTTAAGCTTTACTGGTATTCAAAAATACCTACGCCTCCAAACAGTTGATAATTATCAACACACTTTTGGGTGAGGCCAGCTTTTGGCGTCCCGCTAACCATGGCACCCAGGGGCTGCAGCGCCCCTCTAACATTGCGCCAGAGTGTGTGTCCGCACAAAACTAGCCCCCTCGCCACTGACATTGTCAGACTCCGCCATCCATCAAGACGTCTCTATTGTCGTTAATTAGACCGATTACAGGACGGAACTAACAAAGCCAATTTAAGTACTAGCACGAATACTGCACCCCCCCCCCCCCCCCACACACACAGACCTACACCACCCATCTTATGTTAATTTAATGATATATTAAGAATACAAAAGTTTGACATTCACACGGTCTACAACAATTGCAGTTACTAACATCGTGCGCTTGGATGCCAATTTTAAGGTTGGTTAATCGATTTAACTTGTTTTGTTCTTCATTTATAATGGATCAATAATGATAGAAGTCTTGGCGGGTTTACCAGTAATGCCAGAACAGAAAGAAATCAGGCTTTCTTTTAGACATTTTCTAGGGTGTGTGTGATGGGCGCTATATATATATATATATATATATATATATACACATATAAATATTCATCGTCCGGGAGGCGGGGTGGGTTTAAATGTGGCGGGGTCAGTAGAATGCCTGAGTGTGGGTGGAGGGGGGGGGGGGCGGGCAGTAAAAAAACTCATAGAGAGAGAGAGAGAGAGGAAGAGGGGCAGAGGGAAAGAGAGTTTCAAGAAGGCCCACACTTGTAACAAATGAGGTTCCCGTAGAACTCTGGGAGTAATTAAATCAGAGGAGCAAATGAATGGCTGTCTGAAGGCTGGGCCGACATAACAAGTCCAACATCAGTTCAACAACAGTAGGTCGCGCCATCTGTACAACTTAGGGGGAGGGGGTCTGGGGGGGGGGGGGGATGACGTCAGCTCTGAATAACGTTTTATTGACCACAACTCCAATAGGTGACCAAGTAGGTTTTTGGCTTCCAGCAATTGGCGATAGAAATCATTCACGATAGAAATCATTCACGATAGAAATCAAAACTGATTACCATATAGGGCATACAATACTGGACCATGTTGATTTATTTATATATGTTTTTATTTATATGTTTTTTATTTTTATATGTATTTATATACGGTTTCTGTGATTTTGTCCCAGAGGCGTAGCGACCCTTCCCGGCGCCCGGGGACAAACTTTCAATTAGGCGCCCCCTCGGGAGCAAATTTTCAATTTTAACCCCCCTTCAAACTTTCGATTTGCACCCCGCTCAAACTTTTGATTTGCACCCCCCCCCCCCCCCCAACTGCAAAAATGCAGCTAAAATTACATTTTAATTTGTTTTTTCAACCCATTTTGGCGCCCCCTAAGGTCGGCGCCCGGGGACATATGTACCCCCCGATATTTTTTCACTAAGAGAAGCATAGGAAATCTTAAAATTGCGTGTAGTTTGTTCAACGGTTCAGCTTGAACGCTACTAGAAGTATTTATTTTAACAAGGGGATCCACCCGTCTAAAAAAAGCTTATGTCGGATCAAGCTTCAATTTAGAACCTGGCCAGATGACCGTAAATTCCCGCAGGCCCTATTTGGCGCCGTTTCTATTGGCGGGTTTGGAAGCGGGATGATTTTTTAATTTTTTAAAGAGGTCTAGATGGCTAAGCGAATTAATGTTTGTGGCTAGCTAACAGAATTTGTGTTCGGGGATTTAAAAAAATTAACATATTCGCTAACCCGAACATGTCTTTGGCTAGATTAAAAAAAAAATGTTTGTAATTTACTCATGCAAAACATTGCACGGAAAAAATTATAAAAAATCCCCCCTTCTCCCAAATTAAAAAAACAAAACAAAACAAACATCGCATAGCCTACAACCAAGAACAGCGAATCAACCTCAGATCTAAGTTAAATGAACAACAAAAATAAAATCATTTTTAAACAGCTCCTTGCACATATTTTTGTGTTTTCCATTCTGTATCAGTTCTAGGATATCTTTCGTCTATGTCATGGTAGTTTGTCGTTTATCTCTCGCCGCCTCCCATGTTCTGTCTATCATACCGGTATTGATTATGTCAGGGTGTCTTTTATTTTGGCGTTCCCTACTTTCCTTCTGACTTTGCCAGAAATAGTTCCCATGTGCCCGCCGTTAAAGCGTTGCTAGGAAGCACCCTGGTGTGTCTCTGACGTGGTAGGCTACCTAGTTTGTAGGCTACCTAGTTTGTAGGCTACCTAGTTTATCTGACGTGGTTGGCTACCTAGTTTGTAGGCTACCTAGTTTGTAGGCTACCTAGTTTGTAGGCTACCTAGTTTATCTGACGTGGTTGGTTACCTAGTTTGTAGGCTACCTAGTTTGTAGGCTTCCTAGTTTGTAGGCTACCTAGTTTGTAGGCTACCTAGTTTGTAGGCTACCTAGTTTATCTGACGTGGTTGGTTACCTAGTTTGTAGGCTACCTAGTTTGTAGGCTACCTAGTTTGTAGGCTACCTAGTTTATCTGACGTGGTTGGCTACCTAGTTTGTAGGCTACCTAGTTTGTAGGCTACCTAGTTTGTAGGCTACCTAGTTTGTAGGCTACCTAGTTTGTAGGCTACCTAGTTTATCTGACGTGGTTGGTTACCTAGTTTGTAGGCTACATGGTTTATCTGACGTGGTAGGCTACCTAGTTTGTAGGCTACCTAGTTTATCTAACATGGTTGTTTATCTAGTTTGTAGGCTACCTAGTTTATCTGACGTGGTAGGCTACCTAGTTTATCTGACGTGGTAGCTACCTATTTATCTGACATGGTAGGCTACCTATTTATCTGACGTGGTAGGCTACCTATTTATCTGACGCGGCTACCTTATCTAACAAGGGAAACAACCTATAAGAATTCTATAGTTAAGTAATGATCAAAGTCTGGGTGACAGTGAACAGTCAATTCCATCTGTGGTAACTCAACTGTCTACTAGGGTGGTGCCAGAGTCAATGAGGCATTTAAAATTCTGATGAAGTTTTAAATGCAAAATAAAGCTACAGCACCCCCCCCCCCACATCCACACACCAATCCAACATGTACAGACTAGATCTAGTCCTAATTTATAAAAGGCCACGTTCGCACATCTCTCTCTCTCTCTCTTTCTCTGTCCGCAAAAATTTTTCGCCGGACATCACGTCAGAATCGGCAGCGATATATCGAGAACTTTTTACGGACTTTTGTTGAAAATAATATGTTAGATGTTTTAAATGTATAACCACAATTTTACTTAAAGAAGAAAAATAAAAATTAAAGGCGTATTCGAATGTAGTGAAACAGTATTATTTATGCAACCGGAAAAGCATTAATATATGTGAAAAAGAACGCATAAAACTGTGACGTCACTATTGCTTATACATTAACTAATGACGTCATCTGCCGTGTTTAGAATGAAAAGAAATGAACTATTTCATTCAAATTTGATTTAGATCTACGTACACTATGAAATGTATACAATACAATTTTTCCGGCCTAAACTCATAAAATTTATTTTATGTATTTGGATTCTAGATCTAGAGATTCTAGATCTAGACTAAATCTAAATCTAAATCTACGCAATAACTAGATCTAGACGTAGACGCTAAGATCTAGATTTAGACTCTAACTCAGTAGCGTAGCGAGGGGGGGGGCGGGGGGGACATATGTCCCCGGGCGCCGACCTTAGGGGGGGCGCCAAATTGAAAGTTTGAGGGGGGGTGCAAATGAAAAGTTCGAGGGGGGGGGGTGCAAATCGAAAGTTTGAGGGGGGGGTGCAAATGAAAAGTTCGAGGGGGGGGGTGCAAATCGAAAGTTTGAGGGGGGGGGGGGTGTGCAAATGAAAAGTTCGAGGGGGGGGGGTGCAAATCGAGGGGGGGGGGGTGCAAAATTATTTATTTTATACAAAATCTTTGTTTGGAACTGGCTAATTTGGGATGAAAAATTAATTTGAAAGAATAGGCATATTCGCGTAAGTTAAGATTTTAAAATACGTGTTTCATTCTCCGTATTTTATAGGGTGCCTAA